TTGGTTTGGTGGGGGTTTTTTTGTCACTGTTTTTTGAAAGAGAATTTTTTTTCCCCCTAGGATTTTGGTTTTTAGCTTTTCAAAGCATGGTTTCTTTGTGTAGCAATGGCTGTCCAAGTCAATTTGTTCATTTTATGTGTGTTTTGCCTGCATGTATATCAATGTACCATGTCCATCCTTGGTGTCTATGGAGGTTGGAAGAAGGCATTGGACCCCCTACAACAGGATTTACAAGTGGCTATGAACCACCTGAAGGGTTCTAAGAATTGAGCCCAGAGCAAACCCAGATCCATCTTCAAGAGTATCCAGTGCTCTTAACCACTGAGCCATTACCTCTAGCTGCTTTCACACAGAATCTTGCTATATAGTCCAAACCAGCCTCAAACACTGTTCTTCCCTCTGCCTTTTAAGTGTTGGGTTTAAAGGCATAAATGCTGGGTTTACAGGCTTCTGCCATCCAGCCAGTCAATCTCATGGTTTTAATTTACGTTTTACAATAGCTAAAAATATTAAGCTGCTTTTCATGTCTTTATTTGCTATCTGGGCGTCTTTGAAATCTGTTAAGTATTTTGCCTCATCTTTAAAATGGATTGTTTTAGTCACTAAAGTGATATTGGTTTTTCTTTCATTGTTTTGAGAATGTGGTTATGTTTTATGTATGAGTTTGTTTTGTTGTTTTAGATAAGGTTGCTTGTACCCTCAGCTGACCTGGAACTCATTTTGTAGGAGAAAGTGACCTTGAATTCCTGATACCTCTAACCTAAGTTCTGGGAGTGATATTACACTATTCTGTTTTGGTTTGGTTTTTGTTTGTTTGATTTTTTTGGTTTTGTTTTTCAGTGCTAGGTAGGGCCTAGTGCGTGCATGCTAAGAGCTCTACCACTTAACTATATTATCAGTCCTTTTTAAAAGGACTTTTATGTAAAGCAAGGTCTTGGTAAATTACCCAAGCTGTCTTCAAACTTAAAATGTTCTGTCTTGGCCTCTCAAGTGACTGGGATTGTAAGTTTATGTCACCACACCAGGCAATTGTTGAGGGGATTGGAGATAGGGGTGTTTTGTTTTGTTTTTTGAGGTAGGGTCTCATTTAGCCCAGGATGGCCTCAAGTTGGGTTGTAGCCTAGGATGACCTTGAACTCCTCCTTATCCTCCTGACTTCACCTCAGTATTGTATGCAGTGTGGGGGACCAAAGGCAGGACTTGTGTGTTAGGTAAGAGCTCCACTGAGTTAGAGCCTTAGCCCTCTCTTGAGTTTCAGTGCTTGTTGTTGCTGTTGTTATCAGGTACTTACTGATTTGCAAATGTATCTTCCCAGTCTGTGATTGTCTTACTCTTCTGTTTTTTTGTGGGGTTTTTTTGTTGTTGTTGTTGTTTGTTTGTTTGTTTGTTTTTTTTTTTTTGTTTTTTGGGTTTTTTTGTCATATATATGAGCATCTTCTAGCATGTAGTCAGTCAGTTGGGGAATATGGATGGAAGTATCTCATTTTCATTGACTATATGCTTATTTCTAGGTTATTCTACTTTATTTACTGATCTCTCAGTCTGTGTTCATGGCAAAATCCCACTGTCTATATTACAATAGCATTATTATAATGTAATCAGGTTGCCAGTTTCTATCAGTCTAGTAGGATTATGATTAGACTACTTTAAATCTGTAAATCAGTTTTGAAAGAACTGACATTTTACTGCAAGACATGGGGGCTTAACCTGTAGTCCTAGTACTTGGGAGCCTGAGGCAGGAGGATGGTCATGAGTTCCTGGTCAACCAAGTGTGCCCTGCCTCAAAAATCCGAAAGTAAAACAATTGACCTTTTATTGAAATTAATTCTAGTTCTTAAACATGATCCTCCTCTCCATTTAGATCTTTTGTTGGCGCTTTTTTTCTCATTTTTAGGATTCTTGTCTCTTGCTACATTTATCCCCATGTATTTCATAACTTTTAATAATATTGTAAGTAGTACTTTTTGCATTTGTTTCTAGTTTTCTGCCTATCTTTTAATGTATAAATGAGGCCTTTTAGAGTACAAAAATTTTGTCCTAGGGAGGGGAATTATTATGGCCTTAAGCAATTTTGTTCATCTGTTTTTTTAATGTGTCTGTGTATTGGATTTTGGATCATCTGTTTGAACTCTTTAGGGGTAAGGACATGGGATACATACATGCCTCTGTGTGGAATTTGAAGGACAGTCTTCAGGAGTTGATCTCTACTTCACTGCTAGTCCTGAAAATCTATTTCAGGTGGTCAGGCTTGGTGACCTTAACACACTGTTCTGTCTCACTGACCCTGGTTGAACTCCTTGTCCACTCTAGGGTTAAGAGCACCGTACTTCCAGAGGACCTGATTTAGTTACTAGCACCCATTTGATGTCTTACAGCTGCCTATAATTCCAGTTTTAGGGAATTCAACAACCTCTTCTGACCTGCCTTCTGTTTCTGCTGATAGTTGGTGGTTGCATGTCTGATATTTGATTATGTGGTGGTATTTGATAAATCTGAAAATAACTTCCTGAATTGTAGATCACTATCACCTGATAAAATTTACAGTAATGTCAGCTTTGGAGATACTGGTAGACTACAGCCACTTTACTTCTTGCCATGGGGGATTTTCAGAAAATAGAGTAAATTGCTCAGACTTAGCAGTATAAGCCTATAGTTGTTTAAAAAAAGAAAAGGAAGGAAAATTCTGTGGATGGAGAGATGGTGGTTAAGAGCACTGGCTGCTCTTCCAGAGGACCCAGGTTCAATTCCTAGCATCCAGCTATCTGTAACTCCAGTTATAGGGGATCCATTGTCCTTCTAGACTCTGTAGACACTTGGCATGCATGTGGTACATGGACATACAGAGAGGCAAAACACCCATGTACACACAAAAATAATAAAATACTATCATATACAAAATAAAAATAATTTTTAAAAAAAAAAAAAAAAGCTGGACATGGTGGCACATGCCTTTAATCTGAGCACTTGAGAGGCAGGAACTGTTGGATCTTTGTGAGTTCCAGGACAGCTAAGGCCATGTAGAAAGACCCTGTCTCATTTAAAAAAAAAAAAAGAAAATCTGTCCACTCAAACAATGTGTAGAAAAGACTCCTTTGTAGATCCTTTTCTCCTGAAGTCAAAATTCTTTTTCCCACTAGTCCTTTCATTGAATATACAGCTGCCTTCTTAATAAACATGGTAATTTACGTAGAGTAAATCTGTTATCTCTTATATGTAAGTTCACCAGTAGACTATCTTAATGAAAAACAAGGTAGTTAGAGAACAGCTCTTACCTAAGAAGTGTGGTATAAATTATGATGTTGGGTTACAGAGATGGCTCAACAATTAAGAACACTTGCTACACTTGGAAAAGTCCCAAGTCACAACCTGTAATTTCAGCTCCAGTGAATATGAGATCTTCTGGCCTCCATGGGCACCTACCAATAACTAAAAATAATAAAAATTTAGGTAGATATTTACTACACACTGGATATTCTTTTTTAATAATGTCCATAAGCATATTAAAGGCTCTAAGGTACCTTGAAAGCACAAAAATTTCCTAAATGATGATGGTACCAGCCCCATCTTAGTTATTCTGTTTCCACATAACTGCTCCATCTCTCAATCCATGACACCATCTATAAGAATCATGTCTGCTGTGTACACAGTGAGGTACATGGGTGTTTGATATGTAGTTGTTGGGTGACTAAGAAAAAACTGGAGTTCTCAGGTAATATTTGCAGAAGCTGTGTTCATAGCCCCACACTATCAAATGAAGATTAGCCCATTCCCTACCATCTACCTCATCAGGGTAAATTAACAAAACTTCTCTTTTGGAATTGCCTTTAGAGTCTGGTTTCTTCTTGTTTAAATATTCCAGTAGTATCTGATTTTGACTCTTTGAAGATAGATCTCATTTATAAAACAATCCAAAAGTTGCTCAGAACAATAGAAGAGTACTGTGAAGGGGGTGGGAGTTGTAGCATGCAAATTTTTCCAAGTCAATATTTTTGAGGGTATGACATTTCCAGTATGTGATCTGAAAAACAAAATTGGGCACAGAAGACACACCTGTGTAATCTTAGCCAGTTAGGCTTTTGGAGGATTGAGGCAGCCTTACAGGCAAACTTTATCTCAGAATAAGAAGGAGGGGCTGGAAAGAATCCTCAGTGGTTAACACTCTTCCAGAGGACACTGGTTCCATTCCCATCACCCATGTGGCAGCTCACAGTTGTCTATAATTCCATTTCCAGGGAATTCACAACCTCTTCTTCCCTTTCATGGGTACCAGGCACACAATCAGTGCACAGATAAACATACAGACAAAATACCCACATGCATTTTTTTAAAAATATTTTTTTCTTAAGAAACTTAGAATTTTATAAATAAAAGACAAATTAAGAAATAATGTTTGTATTTCTTTTTTGTTGGTGTCGTTCTTTTGTTTTGTTTTTCAAGACAGGATTTCTCTGTGTAGCCCTATCTGTCCTGGATCTCACTTTGTAGACCAGGCTGACCTCAAACTCAGAGAAATCCACCTACCTCTGCCTCCCTGCTGGGATTAAAGGTGTGCTCCACAACCACCTGACTATATCTCATTTTTTTAAAAGAAAGGATCTAAGTATAATTTCTTAGAGGGGAGGAGGAACATGCCTCATTAAATATACAAGTCATTACATCAGTCTCAGTTCTGTCATCATTATTAAGTTCACCAGTTTATTTGTGTCTCATAGTAAAGAAGTGCATTTTGCCACAGTGTTTAGTATTTCATTATAAGCTAATGTTGTTTTCTAGGTCTGCATCTATAATCCCAGCAGCTTGGGAGACTGAAATTGGAAGATCACTTACCTGAGTTTGAGGCAAACCTGAGATCCTACTTATCCCAATAGACAAGCATAAATTATCTGTTCTCAATACTGGATTTTGTTTGTCATATCTCACGTAGCAGAATTTGTGTTTAGGGCTTGTAAAGGGGATGTATGTGAGCACTGTGTCATACGTCACTGGTTTCTTCTACAAAGACAGAACATTCTTCACAATCCAAAAGAAAAAGAAGACTGGTTCGGGATGTTTGACGGCTATGACAGCTGCAGTGAGGACACAAGTAGCAGCTCCAGCTCCGAGGAGAGTGAAGAAGAAGTTGCTCCTTTACCTTCCAGTCTCCCAATTATCAAAAACAATGGACAAGTCTACACATACCCAGATGGTAAATCTGGCATGGGTGAGTGTCTACACTTTCACCTGTTGCATAACTTTGTGTTTGATTGTATGTTTTCATTTAACGTTTTTGTTAAGTTGGTTTGGTCATTTTATTTTATGTTTAGTGTCTTGCTGTGTAGCCCAGACTGGTTGAGAACTCACAGTCATCCAGCCTCCAAAGTGCTGGGATTATAAACAATGGCACCAAGCCTGGCTTCTCCTTTAGAATTATTAAAGAGGATTGTTTGAAGATACTGAAACTGAAAACTCATGAGTACCAGATAATATCACAGAGTTTATCTCTGCCATCTTACCTTCTAATGGGAAGCAACTATCTAAGACAAATTTAGTTAATGACTATCCTTATAGGGCTGAAAATGTGAAGGATTATAGAGTTTTTAAAAACACTGAGATAGAGCTTCTCTGTGACAGTTTATCAAGATGTGCGGTGGCCAGGGAGCAGTCGAGGGTGGGTTGGTGGGTGGGTGGGTGGGTGGGTGGGTTGGTTGGTTGGTTGGTTGGTCGGTCGGTCGGTCGGTCGTTCGTTCGTTCGTTCGGTTGGTTGGTTGGTTGGTTGGTTGGTTGGTTGGTTGGTTGGTTGGTTGTCAGAACAGGTTGCACTGTGAATCACAGGCTGGCCTGAAGCTTGAGCTAGTATTCCTGCCTCACCATGCCCAAAACATAAGTTACCACCTTCAGTAATAAGTTGCTGCCTATCTTACACAGAAAGTGGTCTCATTTTTTAGTGGTTCTCAGCACAAGAATGTGGTTTATATTGAACCAGAATTATCCTGTTTTGATTCTTTTCATTTGGTTTTAATGCTACTTTTAAGGCTAAATTAGAGGCCAAGAGGTAATGCTTCCCTAGCATGCACAATTCCTGGGTTCCATCCTTAGAACCACAAATAAAAAAGGGTGTGTGCATGTGTATTGGGAATCAACCTTATGAAGAAAGTGACTTTTTTTTTTTAATCAAGCTGCAATAATAATTCTAATCTTTTTATGATGACATCTTTTCACACTTGACCACTTCCTTTGGTAGGCATGTCAAATAACCACAGTCATTTCCTCCATTTAAGTAATTCCATTCATCAATATTCTGGCCACTTTTTCCTGGGATATTCAGACTATTGGCTAATAGCAACAGTTCCTCCTGATTTGCCTGATTTGCATCCCATCCTCAAAACACTTCCAGCAAATGGCTGGTTACACCGTGACCGGGCCAAAAGGCATTTCAGCCTTGCGGTCTTCTTCAAGATACTGCAGTTGTTAAATCACTGGCTTTTTCTAAAATAATACTGAATTTCAAATAATAGATAGTTTTTCCTTTTTTTTTTTTTTTTTTAAATTGAAAGGTGGGGAGAAGAAGGTGAAGGTATATATGTTGGTGCACTAGGAAAGATCAGAAAGACAATTATGTATAGTCATTTCTCTTCTTCCACTTTTATATGCATGTGTGGCATTCAACTCAGGTTGCCACGCTTGCTTTGGCAAGTGCCTTTACCTACAGAACCAGCTTACTGTTTATTGTTGCTTTTGTTTGGTTTTTTGTTTGTTTGTTTGTTTTGTTTTTTTTAATTTTTGTTTTTTGAGACAGGGTTTCTCTGTTTAGCCCTGGAACTCGCTCTGTAGACCAGGCTAACCTCAACCTCAGAGATCCACCTGCTTCTGTCTCCTGAGTACTGGGGTTAACTGTGTGTGCTACTACTGCCCAGCTGTTTGTTGTTGTTTTATGGCATATATACACCAGCCAAAACCAGGTCTTGGCTTTAGATCTCTCTTGGAAGGCTCTTTTTTACTAACCTTTGATGTTAGAAATTTTTAATTCTGTCATCAAGTGTTGGATGCTATGTCATCTAATTTTTAAGCTGTGTATCATTTACAGATGGTGATAATCCTGTTTTGTGCATTCTACTATCTTAACTAAGAAGCCGAGCATGCTAGAGCCTGGTATAGAGTTCTTCAAACCATATTTAAAGAAATTGTACTTAGCTTGCAGTGGCAACATTTGAAGAGGCTAAAACAGGAAGACCCATTATGAACTACACAAGGAAGCTATCCCAGAAATAAATTTTTTATAAAAGTTAACCTCAGTATTTAAGGCAATAATTCAGTCAGTAAAGTGCATGCTATGTAAGCATGAGGACCTGTGTTTGATCCCCAGATATCATGTGAAAAGACAAGTAAGATAGTGTCTACTGTAATCGCAGCCAGCACTGGGGTGGTGGAGATGAGTGAGTGAATCCATGGAGCTTGCTGGCAAGTCAGCTTAACCTACTTGGCAAGCATTGAGCCAGTCTCTTTTTGGTTTGGTTTTAGTTTTTCAAGACAGGTTTTCTCTGTGTAATAACCCTGGCTGTCCTGAAACTCACGGAGATCTGCCAGCTTCTGCCTCCCGATTAAAGGCCTGTGCCACCACCACCTGGCCAGACTGTCTCAAAACAAGGGAGATGGCATCTAAGGAACAACAGCTGAAGTTGGCTTACACATGTACAGGCAGCATGCATGGGCATAATGCATACACTGTCACAGTTTCATTTACCAAAACCCACTAGGATAATCTGTGGTAATTAATTCACCCAATAATCCTAGCACTTGAGAGGCTGCAACAGCAGGCAGATTGAGAGTTTTAGGCAAGCCTGGGCAATATGAGACTTGGGAACAAAACAAAAAGATTGATCCCAATCAATTAAAATGTACCTAGGACCAGGAGTGATCCCAGCACTCTGGAGACAGAGGCAGGAGGATCTCTCTGAGGTTGAGGCCAGCCTGGTCTACATAGTAAGTAGCAAGTCCCATGACAGTCAAGACTTGACCTGTCTCAAAAAAGCAACCATGTACCTAGGGAAAGATAGATGTGTGCCTCAATGGTAGAGTTCTTTCCTTGCATAGAAAGGTACTATGTTAAATCTAGTACCACAAACCCAAAAAGAAGGGTTTCCTAGGTGTTTTCTACTCTAGCTGACACAGTTGACAAAGCTATGTGGAAACTGTCAGAAATACTGAACTTGGTGTGGTAGTACACACCTTTAGTCCAAGCACTTGGAGAGTAGAGGCAGGCAGAGCTCTGTGAGTTTAAGGCCAGCCTAGACTACATAGTGAGTTCCAAGCCAACCATTTCTACATAGTGAAACCCTGTCTTTAAAAAAAAAAAAAAAAATCTTAATTCCTATTGCTAAATATTCTTGCTGTGATTTGATGATGCCATACCAGTGTGGAAATCTTATCACAAAAGAGCATTGTAGTGTGATACTGTATAATTGATTAGTTTGGTTTTGTTAGGAGACAGGGTCTCACTGTGTAGACCAGCCTGGCCTGGAACTCACTGTGGTTACAGAGCCTGGTATTGCCTCTCAAGTGCTAGGTTCAAAACAGTGTGCCACTATGGCAGATGTTGTTTTCTTTTTTAACATAGGTAATTGAGAATCTTTTTAGTAATCTAGAATTTGTAGAGAACCATTCTTTTTTTCTCAAATGGGACAACCAGTATTCAATGCTAATGTCTCAGCTATTTGGTGTTTTGTCTTGTTTCCATTTTTCATGGATTTGTAAGTGCTGGTTATGCTACAGGTATCTTCAGTTTAACCATTTGGGTGGAACATTAACCTATCAACTTGTTTTGTTTCCTCTCTCCCTCTTAGGAAGCACTAAGGATTAAACCTAAGGCCTCGAGTGTGCTAGTACTCTGCCACTGAACTGTATCCCAGCCCACTTCTGACTGAGACAGTATTTTACTTAGTTAACCCACACTGGCCTTGAATTGGCTGTATAGCCTAGGTAGACGTTGAACTCTCAACCCTTCTGCCTCAGCCTGCTTATGTAGCCAGGCCCAACTATTTGGCTCTTTTGAATTTTGGTTCATATGACATGTTTATGCAGTTCTGCCTTTGGGGCTATTGGTCTTTATATAATATCCATCAGAAGCCGAGCTATCTCTTGTCCTGACCTCTGCCTCACACTTGGAGCCAGCTTCATCCTTCTATGTCCCCTGAACATAATTTGAAAGAATCTTCTTAATTTTTCTAAATACTTCCTCTTCTTTGGTTTCAGCCTTTGCAATATTTTAAAGGCTTTTGCTATAATTTTGTTAACCCTCAATTATGTTGCACTCCTTTTAATCTTTTGCTCAGAATCCTTTTAAAAGCTGAAATTCATAATATATGTATATCAGTATGAAAATGCCTACCACATAGTTAGCATTAGGAAGATATTAATTGAAAGTGGTCTCTCTCCCTCTTTCTCTTTCCTCCCTCTCTATGCTGGGGTTATAGTATGCATCACCATATCCCTTTACCTGTTAAAGCCTTTAGGACTTCAGGGAAATTTCAGACTTTATAGACCCCCACCACCAGGGCATCATACAGGTCCTATCTATAACTTTTCTCTATCATTTGTGTTTGAGAGAGGGAAAAAATTCATTGCAGATTTTTAGATAAATACCTCTAAGACAAGTAGAGAGAGTTGATTTTACATGAACTTTCATACCTATGTTTTCATTTTATTAATTAGCTACCTGTGAGATGTGTGGGATGGTCGGTGTACGAGACGCTTTTTACTCTAAAACAAAACGTTTCTGCAGTGTTTCTTGTTCAAGAAGTTACTCGTCGAACTCTAAGAAGGCAAGCATTCTGGCCAGACTTCAGGTAACGGTACAGAAACCTTCTCATTCTTCCTGTTTCACACAACTTTTACTTACCTGTCAGCTGACTGTGGTTCACTGCACTCCACCTCTGCCCAACTGGCCAGTGATTTACAGCCTGTACTGTTAGGAAGTGTATATGAGCCACAAGTGATATAAGCTGGAGTATCTTACATGGTAAAGACAGGCTCTTCAAAATAAGCTGTAAACTAGCATATAAATGAACTAAAAAGACATTTTTCCACATAAGTACAATTAAACACCCTGTTATGTGTAGAATATATAGCCATTTTTCTCTTCTGCTCCATCCCCAATGTTACCTTGAGTTAATATCAGGATAGATGCGGGGTAGTGGTGGCACATGCCTTTAATCCCAGCACCAGAGAGACAGAGGCAAGGCGGATCTCTGTGAGTTCAAGACCAGCCTGATGTACAGAGGGAGTTTCAAGACAAGCTCCAAAGCTATACAGAGAAATCCTGTCTCGAAAAACCAAAAAAAAAAAAAAAAAAAAAAACCTTTAATAAAAACAAGGTAGAATCATCATTTTGGTGAAAGTGATTTATTCTTTGGGCTTTTCAGTTTTGGTTTGGTTTGTTTTTTTCCCCCCTCATCATGTTCTATACTTTGGTTTTTGTTCTTGGGGGGTTTGTTGCTGGTAAGGAACCCCAGTCTTATGCGTGATAAGCAAGTTCAACTTTGTACTTTTGAGTACAACCAATTTGATGCCTTAACCAAATATGTTTGCTAATATAACTCACCTTTAAAAAAAATAAAATCCATGAAATGCAAAGAAAATCATCTTTTATGTGTATATTAGTGCCTACAGAATCCTGGAATCTTGACTATTTGACTTAGTTGTTACTGTACCATCTAAAAATTTCTTAAGGCATTAGAGTACTGACTTTTGTAATTATCTTTGTATGGTCACAGTTTTCATCTCTCATTTAACTTATTGTGATCATTACATAGCACTGAAAAGTTATTTAAATCCCCCAGATGAAGGAAATACATCACTTAGATGTATTTCTATATTTCAGATAGACAGTTCCCAAAGATCCTGAGCAGTGGTCTGTACCCAAATGGATGGCAGTTTCTCACACTGAATTTGGCCATGATCATTATGTCATTGACCTTTTCCGTTAGCACTAAAGGTATAAACCTCAGTCACTTGCTCTTTGAACATTCAGTTGTCTTCTCTTACCATATCAGTAGCAATGCTTCGCAGCTGCATGAGTGAATAACACTGATTCTGTCTACTCTAAGAAGAGGTCAAATATCCACCACAGCCTATATTTTAACATTTTATGGGATATAATTTTTATTAACATATTAATTCGCATATTGCTGTTTTAGTCTGCACCAGCTCTGCTGTCCATATTAGATAACTACATTGTAGCAGAACAAAAAGAAAAAGCTCTCATGTTAAAATTTCTTGTATGTTTCTTCTGCTTTAATAATTTTTCTAAACCCTCAGTATTTAAGCAGAATTAGTATGCAATCATGTTAAATTTCACTTGTGGAGGGGGTAAAGAACTCTATTTACTTAACTTTTCTTGTTTCAGGGTAAGCCTCCAACAAAGAAAGCAAAAGTTCTTCAGAAACAACCTTTAGTTGCTAAATTAGCTGCCTATGCTCAGTATCAAGCTACCTTGCAAAATCAAGCAAAGACAAAAGCAGGTAATTCTGGTGAGTGTAATAAAAGAAATATTGTTCATGTGACTGGTTTCAGGTAATAGTATTTTAACCTTGGGTTACGTTTGAGCTATATGTTTTTTCTGTTAGCATATTAAGACTGTGTGCTTCCTGGTATCAGGTGATTGATTGGTTGTTAACTATTATAGAAGAGGATAGTTTACACACAAAGACATTCTAGTGGTAATGTGTTTGTCAATACATGTGGGAACTCCCCAATCAGAAAATAAGAAATCTGATCTGGGTAAGGCACTTGGTTAGTGGTAGAGTACTCACATAGGGCATAAGGCCCTCCATTCAGTTCCTCGCACCACTGAAAAAGAAAATCTGAAATCCAAAATGTTTTGAAATACATGCTATTTACACAAAGTCCATGCAAATGCCTGAAAATCCATGAAACTCTGAAATTAATATACTTTTGGTAGCAAATATTTAGAAAAGGGGCTTAACCAGTAAACATATTATTTAGTCAACTTCTTTAATCTTTATGGGAAAACAAGCTTTTGATGAGAGTGGATTTTGGAAAGAGGGTCTGACTATATAGCCCTAGTTGACTCTGATCCCCCTGCCTGCCATCATCTGTCTGAAGTGATTGGAGTACAGTCATATGTCATCACGTTTCACCAAAAAGTTTTGGGAATTGGTTTGGTTGATTGGTGTTTTTTGCTTGTTTTGGTTTTTGGAGACTGGGTTTCTCTTTGTATCCCTGACTATCCTGAAACTAAACTCTATAGGCCAGGCTGGCCTCAGACTGTTTCCTAAATCTCCCAGGTGCTGGGATTAAAGACATGCCACCCCCACAGCCCAACTCAAAATTTTTGATGGCACATGCCTTTAATCCCATCACTTAGGAGGCAGAGACAGGTGGAACTCTGAGTTTGAGGCCAGTCTGATCTACCAAGTGAGTTCCAGGACAGCCAGGACTACACAGAGAAAACCCGTCTTGAAAAACAATAACAACAAAATAATAATAACAACTCTGGGACTAGCAAGATGTGGCTCAGCAAGTAAATCTAGAAACCTGAATTTAATCCCTGGACCCCACATACTGTAAGGAGAGAACCAACCTATGAGCTCCACATACATGCTTTGGTACCCACGTGCTCCCCAACACACATTAAATAAATGAAGAACAACTTTTTTAATAAAATGTTGAAGAATTATATCTAAGTTTACTTTATTTCAGCAGTCTCTGTGGAAGGCTTCAGCTGGGGTAACTACATCAACAGCAATAGCTTCATAGCAGCTCCAGTTGCCTGTTTTAAGCATGTGAGTATGGAATTTTTCCTTTACCATGAAATGTCTTTAAATCTGAAGATACACTCACACCTCATCATCTTATCCTTAGAAAGTTTTTGTTTATATCATAAAATTAAAATGTTTCTCCTTTAGTAGTTATTATACTTAGTAGTTAAGAATAACTTCCTGTGTTTTACAAGTAAAATCTTTGTTATCCCAGGAAAAAATAAGCCTTTTTTGAGGACATGTGAAGTAGTATAGTTCAATGGCAAGGTGATTGCCTAGAACATTCAAGGCCCTGTGATTTGCCTCCAACATTAAATTTTTTTTTAGTTGAAGGCTAGTGAGATGGCTCAGCAGTTAAGAGCACTGGCTCCTCTTCCAGGGGACCCAGGTTCAATTCCCAGCACCCACATGATAGCTCACACTTGTCTGTAACTCTGGTTCCATGACTTCTGACATACATGAAGGCAAAAACACCAATGATCATAAAATTTTAAAAAGTTTTTAGTTGAAATATGAGTGATTTTGAACAATAAAAATTATTCTCATCCAGTTTCCATGTTAAACCATATGGAACATGAAGTATGTGGAAGGAGCTCTCTAACAAAACTGGTTGGCTACTAGCAGTGTCTTGTGGCTCAGCCTAGCACATCCCAAAAATTTTGCAATTTGAGCAGGTAATTTCTAAAACAGGTATCTCCTCCAGTTCTGTATTTGCCTCCAAAATGTAAAATCACACACCACAGAAGCAGCAGAAATGTTTTCTTGTGAGCTGGAGTAAGTAATCTGTGTCATTAAAAACAGTTTGAAAGATGCTGTTTTCAGGGCATCTGATGTAAAAAACAATGTGTCAGATGTCTTATTATTTCACTTTGATTTATCTTTAGTAATTTGCCCCAATATTTCTTAAACTGACATGATTAATTTATATTTAAAGACTGTCTACTTCTGGGTATACATAAACAGAAAAGCTAGGAATTAATGCAGTTTTCTTCGCACTTAACATTTTACTAAGGGCTTTATTGAATAACAGCATGGGAACAAAACTACACATGCTTTCTTACCATGAAATCCAAATGAGTTCTCACTCATTCTCCTGGTGAAAGATTTTATAAGACGGAAGCATATTAATTCATTAGTATAAATTTACATTAAAGCCCCGTACATTAATTTGTTGGTTTTCTTTAACGTGCAAATGTTCAGCCCTTTCTGTGACATGTTGTCTAAGATAACTTAAAATGTAACCTTTAGGTGCTTACCTGAGAGTCAAGTGGGTGATTTATGATGTACTGTTGATAATACTGACATACTAGTAAACTGTGTAACATATATGATTGCATTATATACCATAGCTACAAAGAGAAGTACAGAGCTGGGGTGTCACTCACTGGCAGGACACCTACCAGCCACACACAAAAGGTCCAATACTTAGCACTGCAGAGCACAAAGCACAAATTCAGCCTTCACAGTGCTGCTCTGTGGTGCTGAGATGCTCAGAATTCCATATTAAGTCCTCATTCCCAGACTCCTGGCACATTTGTCTGTTGTCTCTTTTTAAGTGGCTTTCATCTTTCTTTAGATCTTCCTTTTAATGTCTTAATGTCATAAACTAGGTCAAGCCTTTTTATGTAAGTAACCATAATATTTTATTCCAAGGTCCTGAAAGTGTATTTCAGTTCTGGCCATATCCTTGAATAATTATACTGAATCGAGTTCTTCAAGAATATCTCTTAAAATAATTAAGTTGGTTGATTTTGCTTACTGCTTTGCTATTTTAAGATTGAAATGGTAACAGGGCAGGTAATTCTACCTTGGAAATAAGTGCTGATTTCCAGAAAGGACTGGAAAAATGGGTAATAAATTTAAGAGTTGTGGTTGTATGAAGTGGAGCTGTTTGAATGGAGTTGGAGATAGTAATAAATAGTAATAAAGGACCTTTAGACTTGTAACTTTTTTTTAACAAGGAGAATATATATTTTATAATTTAAAATCAGTTCAGGATCTGTGTATGGTAGCATGTACCTGTAATCCTAGCACCTGGGAGATGGAAGCAGGAGTATCCAAGAGTTCAAGGCTAGCCTCAGCTACATAGTGATTTTAAGACTAGCAATAAAGGATATTCTGTGATGTAGAATAATAAGGATAATGTGGCACCTTTGCTTTCTCACTCAGAATAAAATGTCTGTTGGTAATGTGGAGCCCATCATTCCTGTCTCACTCTACTGCTTTCTCCTCCTTACCAGAGGAAAAGCTTTGACTTAGTACAGTGGATTTACTTTGTTGCTTTAATCAACATTTTCCGTTGAAGCCGTTCTCTTAATTAACAGGGTTTTCTTCTTAGAGGCTCACGTCTGCCCTCTTGCCCACTTGGGTATCAAATAGGAGCCTTCTTGCTGATAGAGATTCTTTTTCAAACCTAATTTATAAAAGCTTATCTGTAATGTGTGATGCAGAAGCAAAGCCGTTGTCATTGAAACAGGAGTTGTTATGAACCTGTTGTCAAGAATCCTGACTGCCTGGATTTTCCAGTTTAACCAGCCTAACTCAAGTAAGGGTCCATATACCCTATTCAAGGCACTTAACACAGTCAGATACTTTCAAGTGTGAAATTCTTTATAGATTTCTGGAAATGAAGTTCCACATATAAGACTAGAGAGATGGCTCAGCAGTTACGCTCATAAATACCCTGCTCTTCCAGGACTCAAGTTCTATTCCCAGCACCCAAGTTGAATGGTGCAGAACTGCTGGTAACTCCAGCTCCACAGAGATCTGATGCCTATGGTTTCCATGGGCACCTACATACAATACCCAAAGCCACACACACATACATAAATATAATTTAAAATAAAAATTTAGGAAAGTAAAGGTGTGGAGCCAAGTAGTGATGGTATACACCTGTAATCCCACCACTCAGAAGGATAAGCCAAGTGGACGGCCATTTTGTGTATACTCAGTACCAGGCCAATGACATAGCATGACTTTGTCTGATAAATAAACAAAAATCTTTGTGATCAACCCTGGTGCTGTAGCCCTGTAATCTCAGCTATAAAAGAATTACAAGTTTAAGGCCAGCCTGGGCAGTATGGTGAGACCTCACCACCACCAAAAAGAAAGAAAGATAAGTTTACAATGAAAATTGAGTCCCTTTTGTTCTTTCCCATATTATTTCTTTCCTAATAAAATCTGACTGGTTTGGCAAACTGATCTCCAACCATTGTCTAACTTTCCTTCGAAGTCCTGAGTTGGAAATCACCAAATTGGATAATAAGATTTTTACTTTAATCCTAAATTAACCAGATATGATGACACATACTTGTAATCCCAGGAGTCAGGAAGCTGAGGCAAAAGCACTATAAATTCCAGGTCAACCTGGCTGCAGTGTAAAACTCTACCAAAAACCTCAAAACTAATGTGTAATCATGAAGCAGGCTGTGTCTTCAGAATCCTTAGCTCACCTAGACCATTTCTTATATAAAGCTTTACGACTTTTTTGAGAATCGGAGTTATTTTAAACTTAATTTTCATAATTTAAAGCCATTAGTTCTTTTTCAGGTTACTTTTGTTATTTTGATTATGTATATGATGGGTATGCACACGTAAATACAGAAGCCCATGGAGGCCAAAGATGTCAGATCCCTCTAAGCTAGAATTACAAGTGGGTGTGAACCACCTGACATGGGTGTGGAGAAACAAACTTAAGTTCTCTACAAAAGCAGTATTCCCCTAGCCATTTCTCCAGCCCTTTCTTAGTTCTTGGTTAGTTGTATCCACTCAAGGCAAAAAAACAAACTAACAAACAAAATGCATGATACTAATATAGAACCATATACCATTTAGAGATGCTGTATAGATTCCTCAGATTCATGGGTATTTATCTGGGCAGGGGAGGTTGGCAGAGAATTGAGATAGGGTCTCTCACTACTTACTTAGCCCAGGCTGGCCTGAAACTCAATCTTCCTGTCTCAGCCTCCTAAGCAAGATTATAAGCGTGTGCCGACATGTGCAGTTATGCTATGACTTGGGATGGGATGTGGGTGGCAGACCTGGGTTTTGTGGTAGGGGATGGGGTTGTTATTTGTTGATTGGTTGGTTCTCAAAACAGGATCTCTATAGATCAGACTACTCTGGAAATCATGGCAGTTCTGCTTCTTATGTGATGTGATTAGAGATATAATCTACCATACCTGGCTAATACTGTGACTATAAAGTTAAGTTTGTTTGACCTTTTCATTCTGCTCCATGAATATACCTGATATCACTTAACATAATAACAGTCTTTCTGTTGTTTTTGTCTCTGATCTGAGTACAGCCTTTTGAAGACATGTTTTTGTGGGGGGTTTTGGTGGTGGTGGTTTTTTATTTCTTTTGGTTTGGTTTGATTTTTTTTTTTTTTTTTTTTTTTTTTTTTGCAACATGTATTATACCCTCACACAGGCATGAATGCAGACAAAACACCAATGCACAGAAAATAAATTTAAAAAAGAAAAACAGAAGCCATCTTGTTTGCATATGAGCTATAACAATAGTTTAGCTTTGTAGTAAAAATCACAATATAATTTCTCAGATGCATGTTTATTAGGAATATTATTCAACTACAGTTACCTTTAGGGTTTTTCCTCCTCTGTCCTTGACCCACGGAAAGAGAACTCTGGAAAATGCATAATATAACTTAATCTCCTTTATAATTAAAGATCAAATCTCCATGTGTCATTTTATGTTAAAATGCATTTCTAATGAAAATAAAACTTGGGGCTAGAGGACCCAGGTTAAATTCACACTCACATGGTGGCTAATAGCTTTCAAAACATTCATATACATAAAAAAAATAATAATTCTAATATTTGTGGCTGAAGAGTCAGCTCAGTGGTTAAGAGCACTGGCAGCTCTTCCAGAGATCTTGAGCTGAATTCCCAGCAGTCGAACAGTGGCTCACATCCATCTCTAGTGGAATCTGATGCCTCTTCTGGCATAAAGGCATGCATATAGATAGAACACTTATCTACATAAAATAAATAAATCTCTAAGCAAACTTGAGTTGGCTTCTGGTGCTTAGTATTCCACCCATGCTAACACTTGACATGAAATTTGTTCTCATTCTACAAAGGCTACAAGCCCCCATCCCCCATCGTGAAAGTCAACTGCCACAGATTTTCAAGAAAACCTAAATTAAACGGAAGCTTAAATAAATCTCAGTGAATGTCTTAACTTCAGACTCTATCTCAGAGTGGATTGGGATTTTGTTTTTCTTTTGCTATCTCCTAATAATTAAACTATGTTTTGTTTTATTTTAATAAGGCAGTTTTAAACCCAAGTGTGGTGGTGCGTACCTGTAATCTTACACATAGAAAGAAGGCTTCCTTGTTTGGGAAGCTGAGGCAGGAGGATTACATTGACTATAAACCTAGTTTGGTCTACATGGTGAGTTCTAGGCCAGCCTGGGCTACAGAGTAAGACCTTAAGACCTTGTCTTTAAAAAAAAAGAAAAGAAACCTTCAAATTAGTAGTTTCTACCTTTTTTTTTTTTTTTTTTTTTTCCCTCCTTTTTTTATGTAGCATTTTTCTCAGGTGTTCTCTAGCATTCCATTTTCTTCGTGCTCCCCATCTCTATGCTACCATCACCCCCATCTACCCCCCAATAGATTCTAGTGTCAGATCAGGTGAGTATACTTTCTGGACAGAATAGGTTAGAGTTTTTGTTTGGGTCAGGTCATATATTGAGATCTAGGGCCTTGCATTGTATCCCAAACTAGCTTCAGACTCACAAAGCTCCTGCCTCAGCCTCCCAAGTACTGCAATTACAGATGTACAGCACCATGCCTGGCTTTTTTCCTTGTTCATCTTTCTCTAATAAGTACACTTTAGTAATCATGTACTTTTTCATTCTGAAATATAGTAATGGTGGATTTTGCTTTATCATGGGGATAAATTCTTGGTTTCTGACCTACAAATTCAGGTCTCACCTGTGCCTAGTTACATTCTCTAAAGGTTGGGTGTGTTTATCAAAGTTCAGGGTTTGCAGTGCTGTAGAAGGAGATCTTTATTTCTGTGTGCATCATGTGTGCCCTCTTAGTCTGAATACCAGTCATCTGGGAATGTTCTTGGAGTGAAGGAAATAAGACTTCCTGCCAAGTTATTTTCTTTCAGATAGGTAGGTGGAGGTTATCATACATTGTATTGGGGACCCCTCAGCATTTGGATTTGGCCGTCTCTACAGGACCTGATGACAGCTTACTTTGCAGGGAAGGAGAGTCGCTCCCAGATAGCTCTCACGAGTGGCCCTGGAGCAGGAATTGGTGGAGCAGATCTTCCTTGTTTGGGAGGAGCCTGAGGTAGACCTCGCATCCTGAGTCTGGAAGGTAAATTTGTTGTTACCTGTAAATGATGGTTCTGCTAGTTCATACTATACCAATCCAGACTTAAGAGGTATCCCTCCTGCCAGCAAGAGAAGACAGATGACTTGGATGAAGATGGCTGTCAAGCCCTGGGTCATTTCGTCTTCCACACTTAAAGAATATTCATTTTTTAAAAAGGGCAGATTTATCTATGGAATCACTATCATTTCAACACATCGAGCACATACTCTGTTATAACTGTAGTGCTCTATCTTGTTGATATTTGTTTCTTTGGTTTTTTGTTTTTTATATAGTGTGAACCATGTGGATTGGTTTAAGAGGGCCTAGCAGAACCACAACCTTACAGGCAAGAACAAATGTCACTTTCTGCTACTTTCTCCTATACCAATCCAGACTATAGGGACCAAAGCAAAGATCTCCCACTCAAGTGAGCATTACCTTTTTTTTCTTTCTTGTAATAAATATTGACACTTCTCCAATAAATAGCATTAAAAATATCTTCTCCAAAGATAATATTGAAGCTTTAAAAAGAAATCAGTGCGACAGATTGTCAAGTCTAGCCCAGAGAAGAGTCCTGTATGCAAATTTCATTTAGCATTGTGCCCGCCTAACCTGTAGCTTGTTGACATAACCACAGTTCTCAGTAAAAGCCAAATAAACAGATCTGGCAGTCAAGCAAAGAGTAGCTACCCTACTTGAGTTTAATGCAGCTTTATGCATGCATTTACCTGCACCTATCTTCTCTGATTGCTTACCTTCCAAGAAATAATGTATGGTCTTTGTATCGATGTATGTTAGCTTAGTTTGTGTTACCTGTCTTCCTAGCCTCTCTTTTTCTGATCATATCTGCTGGCAATAGGGATGGCCCTACAGTCTAGAATGATGTAGGGAGAGGTAGCAGAACCTGAAGGGTCCAATCTTCCTGTTTAAAAAGGAAAATCAGGCATGGTGGCACACACACCTACAACCCTAGCACTTGTGGGGGAGGGGCTGTGGCAGGAGCATTGCAAATTTGAGGCCAGTGTGGTATACATGGCAAATTCCAGGCCAGCCTGAGCTAACCCTGTATCAAAAGGGGAGGAGGTAGTTTTGTTTGTTCCTTCCCTCTTGGGAAGATGTATATATGTTTGTTACTCATAATAACAAATAATTGAGATTGGGCATGTCTCTAAGTTCATAAGGTATATTCGTTGCTATTCAAAGAGTTAGCTATTAATTGGTTCTGTCTTTGGTTTTTAGATCTTAGTTCGCTATTATTTGACATTCTGTTTCCTTCAGAAATTTATGAACTGTTTAGAGGGTAGGAATTAAATATTGCTTTAGGCTGACTATTCTGGGTTATCATCAAAGTATGAGGGGCATTGCTTCCATGGAATACATTTTCCCGATGTCCATATTTGTTAGTTCATGTCTATGCTTGCTTATCTTTTAATTTGAGGCTATTTTGTTTTCATCTGATTTATTCATATTATCAGGCCTTCTGGAGCCTCACCTTATCTTTTTATTTATGTCCAGTGTTATACATTTCATGGAAACCTGATTATCCAGGGCCACGGAGGCTAGAATTATCAGCACTAATGAATAATTATAAATTCATTTACTTGATTAATTTACTGTTGCAAAAAATCCAAGTAATTGTGTGTTGCCTTGCAGTTTAGGGATTCATAGAAATGAGAACGTTACCTTTTGGGAAATGTGACTGTTATACTCTTAGGTAAAGTTCTTTCAGTTGATATCTTAACCAGTAGTGTGGAGGCCAATGGTCAGCACTTCTAACATGGGAAGTTTTCTTTTCATAGTAATTGTGGCATGAGAAATTGTTTAACAATTTACCACAGGCCTCATTTCCAGATCTCTTCAGTTTCCCCTTTAATGACTTTGTCACTGTTCTTTCCTGTCACTCTTAATAGACTGTATTTACATTATGTGGATTTAACTTATATTTGAAGTTCAAATACCTGTTTTATTTCTCCAGATCATATTAAAGCCTGTTAATTGGATTTGGTGTTTTTTTGTTTTGTTTTTGTTTTTGTTTTTTGTTTTTTTGTTTTTGTTTTGTTTTGTTTTTTGTTTTTCCTACTCTTGGACAAGATCTTCAAAAATTAAGGGTTAAAGTATTTTCCTTCAGGACACATTAAAAACACTAAATTCCTCAAGTCATCTTGATTTTATGATGTTGGCCAAGTTTGTAATTTAAGTTTTAGAATAATTGTTACTTGCTCTTGAATTTCTAAGTCAATGTGGATCTAATAGGTTCAGATTCTGTCTTCTATCTTGAATTTAAGCCTGACTCTGGCTTTCTTGAAATAGAACTCTTTACAACAATGAATAGAAACTATAAGAAAATATAAATGGATGAAAATGACATTTTTATTTGAATAGTCCATGTTGGTGATACTTAATTTTGAATGATATTTCTTGCTTGTATTAGTTACTAAGATAATAATTCAATAATTTTTGTATGACAGGCACCTATGGGAACCTGCTGGGGTGATATCTCAGAAAATGTAAGAATAGAAGTTCCCAATACAGACTGCAGTCTACCTACCAAAGTCTTCTGGATTGCTGGAATTATAAAATTAGCAGGTGAAAAACATACATGATGATTTACTAGAAAATGCCAGTAACACAAACTTTTTTTTTCCAAAGTATAAATTTTGTGGGTATTACCAAATAAATAATACACGTATAGTAGGAGTTGGCAGATTTTTTTTTCTTATACATGGCCAGACAATAAGTATTCTTGGTTTTGTAGGGTTTCCTCCTTTTCACTACCCATTTCCCTCATTTTAACATGTGAACAACTCTAGTAACATATAAACAGATGGATATAACTGTAGAATTTAATTCATGAAATTTGAGTCTCATGACGCTGACATATCTTTATCTGAAGAAATATTGTTCCTTCAGTTCTTTCTAGTCATAAAAGAAGGAAGAAAAAAAATCAAGCAGTAGGCCCGGCCAGCTTAATGGGCTTTATGTCTAACTTGCTTCCTAGAACACTCTGAATATTGATTTACTGTACACTGCCCATATTACCTAAAAGTGGCCTTGGTACCAGGTGTGATGGCCCCATACCTTTAATCTCAGTACTCAGGAGACAGAGGCAGATAGATCTGAGTTCAAGGCCAGCCTGGTCTCTGTAGCATGTTCCAGATCAGCCAAACCTATGTAACAGAAAGTCCTCTAAAGGTTTGTGTGCTGCTGGGCAAGTCCTCTCCCAGTAAGCTACCTCTCTACCCGCTAAAGATAATTCTAATGATACTGTCCTCTTCAGGAGTCATGAGTAGCCTCTTTATCCTTAAAGGTCGTCAGAGTTTCCAACTTTGCTCTAAAAAAATGCTGGACAGACTTTTTTCTTCCCCAATATAAATGATCTGTTAACATGAAGTTGGTCTCTCTTTCAAAGTTTTTTATCTTATCCATGCCTGATCCTTCAATCCCATGTATTTTCCTTGAGACATTGGTCTACATAAGCATTCTTTAAATGCTTCTGTTGTTTGCTATATTGTAATTCATTATGTCCCAGATATTTGAGTCACTTTCATGTAAGTAGTTTGAAATATCAGCACATTTACAATCTAATAATTGTTCCTAATTACTGATTTTATATTTCTGTTTTTTTCTGTTTGTCTCATATATCTTCTAAGTCACTGTATGTACTATTTTGGTAGTAAGCCTCAGAGAAGCAGGGCCTACTCCTACAGCAAGTTGAGATAAAAGCAAGAAAATCCCCCAAAAACTCATGAACCAGCTAGCCTGGCATACGCTGTGGCAGACAACAAAAAGATCCTATCTCAAAGCAGAAGGAGAGAACCAACACCTGAGATTGTCCTCCGACCTGTACACTCATGTACATACACACACCCCAAAAACAAAACTTTTAAGAACTGTTTCAGACATGTTGGTCACACTTAACATTCCAGCACTTAGGTGGTAAAGGAGAATAGAGTCTTCTACAGCTAAGTAGTCAATTTGATGCCAGCTTCACCTATATACGACCCTCAAAAGAAAACTGCATATTCTCATGAAACTATCTCACCACTTGTTTTCACTGAGGTTTTTTCCCCTTTCCGAGAACTTGAGAAATTATAGATAAATTAAAATGCAGAAGAGAGGGAGACATACTCTGAAAAACTGGAGAGTCTCTCCAAGTTGGACCATAGTATAACAGGTTCATTATTGCCCAGGGATTTAGAAGTGTAGATTATTCATACCACTCCATGTCTAAATCTCAATCCCTGGCATGGGAGGGACCCTCTGGAAGGGACTACTCTCTGCCTATACCCAATAGCAGGTGGTTCTGCTACAGAGGGAAAGCCAAGTTTGACGGCCATCACCCTAGGGACTGAATCATTTTAGTTTTGTTATCTTACTATGTAATAATTGATTTGTTGGTTTTAGGTTACAATGCCCTTTTGAGATATGAAGGATTTGAAAATGATTCTTCTCTAGACTTCTGGTGCAATATATGTGGGTCTGATATTCATCCAGTTGGTTGGTGTGCAGCCAGTGGAAAACCTCTCGTTCCTCCCAGAAGTGAGTAGTAGCCTCACAATCATTTTATTTTATTTTAAACTTCACATCCATTTATTTTATAGGTGTGATTATTTTGCCTGCATGTGTGTATATATGCACGCCTGGCCCCACAGAAGGCATTGGAGCCCCCAGAGCTATAGTTCTAGGCAGTTGTGAGCCACCTTTTGGATGCTGGGAATCAAACCTCAGTCCTCTGTGAGAGCAGCAACAAGTGCTCTAAACCACTGGGCAAACTCTCCAGCCCCATGGCATTTTAAATGTATGTATCTTAGTGCTGTCTTACACATAATATCCTAAAGTGATACAGAAGTTATGTTTATGTTAGCAAGACATGCTTATCTTCTTCATTGCTACTTTTCAACACCGTCATTCATGACTTCCAGAGAGACTTGTTAACCTTGTTTTTGTTTTATGTTAATTATTTTGTGAAACAGTTCTGTTTACTAAAGAATAATTGTAGTTATTTCTTTTGTTTTAGCTGTTCAACACAAATATACAAACTGGAAAGCTTTTCTAGTAAAAAGACTTACCGGTGCCAAAACTCTTCCTCCTGATTTCTCACAAAAGGTAAATAGGGTCCTTAAAGAATTTAAGTGCTGATTTAAAAGAATTACTTAGGCTGGGTGGTGGTGGTGCACACCTTTAATATCAGCATTTGGGAGGCAGAATCTCTATGAGTTCAAGGCCAGTCTGATCTACAAAGTGAATTCCAGAGCAGCCAAGGCTACATGGAGAAACCCTGTCTTGAAAAGAAAGGGAGGGCAGGCATTAAGGAATTATAATTTCTTAGCTGTTAAATATCATAGTATATGTTTAGAAAATGTGACTCATACCTATGATCTCAGTACTCAGGAGACTGGGGCAGAAAGATGGCCAAAAGTTTATAGTTAACCTCTAGACTACAAAGTGAAACCCTGTTCCACAAAACAAGAGTCAGACATGATGGTGCACACATTTAATCCCTGCACTTGGGAGGTAGAGGCCAGTGGGTCTCCATGAGTTCAAGGTCAGTCTTGTGTACATTGCAGGTTATAAAACAGCCAGGGATACATAGTGAGACCCTGTCTCAAAAAAAAAAAAAAAAAAAAAAAAAGACAAAAGTAATATGTAAGTATATTTAATATTGACAGGGCATTAACAAAACTATAGACTTTTGTCATGAGTCTCAAATGGAATTTTTTTTTTCTGCTTTTGTTTGAAGGTTTCAGAGAGTATGCAGTATCCTTTCAAACCTTGCATGAGAGTAGAAGTAGTTGACAAGAGGCATTTATGTCGAACAAGAGTTGCAGTGGTGGAAAGTGTAATTGGAGGAAGATTAAGGTTAGTTTATGAAGAGAGTGAAGATAGAACGGATGACTTCTGGTGCCACATGCACAGCCCGTTAATCCACCATATCGGATGGTCCCGAAGCATAGGCCATCGATTCAAAAGATCTGGTAAGCAACTGTCACAAAAACTTTTAAAAGTATCAGTGAGGGTGAATAAACTACTTGATTGTTTCTCTCTATAAAGCATAGATCAAAGATAGCATTCTAGTTGGACTATCCTACTGTAATTACAGTATTAATTATTGTATTCCTTCCTCTTCCTACCCATTTAAAATAATGTACTTTTCATGCATAGGGCCATGGGTTTGATTTCTAGCACCAAGAAGAAAAAAATTTTTTAATCTTGAAATTTTTCCTCATAACTACAATTGTCTCATTATTCTTTTCTTATCCAGACCATTTGAAAGATTTGAAGGGATCTCCTTTCCACTTAATTGTCATCTAAATGGCCAGATTAAGTTTAACTAGACATAATACTTACTACACACACAAAAACATTTCTTCTAGAAAGGCCTAGTGGTGTAGGCTATGCAGCAGAGTCAGACGTGATCATCACTAGTTCAAAGACAGCCTCAGCGGCTTAGTAAGCCCCTGCCTCAAAACCAAAAGTGAAAAGACCTAGGGAGATAGTTTGTTATCAAGAGAATTTGGCATGTCTGAGATGATCTGTTCACCCTCCAGTACCACACCAAAAAGAAAACAAAACTTCTAATGTTGTAATTCCCATTTTATGGGATTACCAGCATTGTAATTAACCGAAATGTAATAGCATATGTACATGTGCTCTAAACACAGGAAAGACTATTAATATTATTCACCATCATAAACATAGAAGACATGCTTTTTTGTGTTAGGAGTAGATTTTCCCTGCAGGCCTAGTCTCACCCCGGCTCCAGCCCCAATTAACACACAGCAACTCTGTATTTGATATTATGCTGTTGGCCAGTTACTTGTTTCTTATCAGCTAGCACTGTCTTAATTATTAACCCATTTCTATTAATCTAAGTATTCCCACATGGTCTCATCTTACTGGAGAGTGGAACCGACGACTGCTCTCTCCAGTCTCTACATGCTGACTCCTCCCTACTACTTCCTCTCTCCTCCTTGTCTCATAGACCCACCTATCTTGCTTTCCTACTGGCCAACAATGCTTTATTCATTAACAAATAAGAGAAACATATTTACAGAATGACAACTCCCATTATTTTTGTTTTTTTCATATTTTAGAGTATTGCATACCTTGTGAGTTTGAACCCTTCAAGGAAGTGTGGTTTTTTTGTTTGTTTTGTTTTTTGGTCTTCTCACAAATGTTGACAGAATAGTATGTAACTTTTCCTTGTAGATATTACAAAGAAACAGGATGGACATTTTGATACACCACCACATTTATTTGCTAAGGTAAGAAGTTTCTATAAGAGCCCTCATTTCATTTATAAATTAGGTTGAAAGAAGGTTGTGGGTTTTTTCATAAATTATGTATATCACATATGCTCTCTTAAAAAATTAAAATCTATAATCCTTAGGTGTAACAAGGACTATACTCATTTATAAATTATGTATACCTATATAAGTTCTTCCTGTTCTCTAAACAAAGGGAGTTATAACATTAGATAGATAGAAAAAGCCATCTGGGAAATGTTTTAAGTTGGATTTTTTTTTTTTTTTTTTTTTTTTTTTGGTGTTTCAAGACAGGGTTTCTCTGTGTGGCCTTGGAACTTTGTAGACCAGGCTGACCTTGAACTCAAAGATCCACCTACGTGCCTCTGCCACCCAAGTGCTGGGAATAAAGGCATGCTCCACCACCCAACCAGAAATATTTTCATTATTAAAATGAAAACATTTAGAAGGCTGAAGAAGGAGGATTACAAGCTTCAGACCAGCCTGTCTACAGAAGCAGACCCTGTTTGAGGGGTGGCATGGCAGAGGGAGGACATTTATGGGATGAGGAAGAAATAGCAGGTTCAGGTTCTATTATACATCCTGATGCTCTGAACATATGTAAAATGCCTGGTGCAGATGTGGTGGAGTGCATTTGTAATCCAAGCACTCCTCCAGCAAAATGGGAAGTGCAGATAGGAGAATCGCCTAGAAGCTTACAGCTTGCAGTACACGGTGCAGGAGACACAAGAGGAGGGATCCTGCCTCAACAAGGTGGGAAGGAAGAACTGACTTAAAGAAGTTTTGTGACCTACACATGCATAGTGGCATCTACACACATGTGCATGCACACTAGATCAGTAATTGTAAAGGACACGTATAATATAGTGTATGTGCTTTCTATAGGTAAAAGAAGTAGATCAGAGTGGAGAATGGTTCAAAGAAGGAATGAAATTGGAGGCTATAGACCCATTAAATCTTTCTACAATATGTGTTGCAACCATTAGAAAGGTAAGAGAATATATCCTATATTGGAGAGATTCAATCAGAAGAACCAGGTTTAAAAATTAAACTTTCTAAATAAATTTTAATTCTGTTCTCAGATCTGTTTTAATTTTTAATATGTTATAGTCAAGATCAGGACTTCACTCTAATGCAACTCATGGCATAAATTTATTTTAAAACAATTCATTGGTATAATTTTACTGTTTATTAAAGACAAAATCAAAAATTGTCTAAGAGAACAATCCAAATAAAGGTTGATTTGATACTTATAAGCTGAAGTAAGAATGATACAAGATAGACTCAATTTCAAGTGTGAGCTAGGAATATTTCAAGAAGCTTCTGTTGTAACAGTGTATGCATGAGGAACAAAATTTCTTTAGCTTACCCATATAGTTCATCATTAAAGAAGCCAAGGTAGGGACTTCATGAAACAGAAACCACATAACAATTCTGTTCACTGGCTTGCTCAGCAACTTTTTTGGGGGGAGACAGAATCTCACCCTTAGCTATCCTGAAATTCTCTATGTAGACCGGGTTGGCCTGGAACTCATAGAGATCTGCCTCTGCCTCCTGAGTGTGGAGCTTTAAAGTGTGTGCTACAATGTCTGGCCATCAGCTACTTGTCTTACACAGCTGGGACCTACCTGCCTAAGGATAGTACCACCCACTGGGCTGGACCTTACTACACCATTTAACAATCAAGAAACTGTCCCACTGACGTGCCCATAGGCCATTTTGATAGAGGTTCCCTTTTTCCTAATGACTCTGGTTTGAGACAATTGGCACATTTAGGGAATGGTAAGTGGTTGATATGCATACAATATGCATACAAAAGTTGGGACTTTGGCTGTAGCTCAATGGTAGAGTATTTGCCTAACTTGTGCAAGGTTCTTGGATCAATCCCCTGTATAAACAAAAAGATGTCAACAGGACAGCCAGGGCTAACACAAATTGGGGGGGCGGGGGGGGGGGGGACAGGTCAGATTTCAGAGTTGCTTCCACAGTTAAAATCTCTTGCAAAGGGACCTAAGCTTGGTTCCTAGCCATCCACATTGTGGCTCATGATCATCCATATTTCTTTTTCCAGGCAATCTGATGCCATTTTCTGGCCTGCATAAGCACCAGGGATACATATGCTGCACAGGCATACATACATACAGGCAAAAACACCCATATACATAACATTTTTTAAAAAATTAGTTAGTGCTTTAAGATTTTTTAAAAAAATAAATAAATAAGAGCCAGAATGTTTTGAGATATGAGTTGTGAACTGAGTGGTTGATTACTTCTGAAGGACGAATGAAGGACCTATTGACTTGACACAAAGACTAGCTCTCAAAGAACATGTTCAGCATAAAGATAAATACTGAGACTCTGCAAGGGAGGCAAACTCCCGTTGATCGTGAAGTTAATAGTGTCGTTGAAACAAAGTAAAGAGCTAAAATCAAAAACTTAAGGGTTGGAGGTGAAAAGCCAAGTACCAAAAGAGTTATAGAGGGAATATGACAGTCTAGGTTGAATGTGTTTAATCCCAGCATTCAGAAGGCATAGGCAAGCTAATCTCTGAGTTTAAAGCCAGCCTGATCTCCATAGTGAGTTCCTAGCCAGCCAGAGGGATACATAGTGAGACTCTGTCTCACTAATAAGTTATATTTGAGTAGGTAAATCCTGAGGAAAATAATCCACTGAATTGAGAAAGCAAGGTTGTCCGAGAATTTTGCAGTCTAGATAAGGATAGAAATGGAAGAGCAACAAATTGCATAGTATATACCTTGAACTAGGTCTCAGAATGCAGTCTACTGAATTCACTGCAATAACTTTACGCCTTTTGTGTTTGAAACTATCTGAATTTTTCCTTTTTTTCTTTCTTGGTTATTATGCAGGGTATAAAATATTTTCAGTGTGATGGAAATTAGAAAATGTTAGAGTGTAAAACGTGTTTGGACAAGGTCTTGTGATAATTGGGCAAGATGTAGAAGTTTGACATGTTTAAAAAAAAAAAAAAAAGAAAGCCAGGCGGTGGTGGTACATGCCTTGAATCCCAGCACTCGGGAGGCAAAAGCAGGCAGATCTGGGTACTCTTCCCAGAGGTCCTGAGTTCAATTACCTGCATTCACATGGTGGCTCACGGCCATCTATAATGAGATCTGGTACCCTCTTCTGGCATGCACCAATACATGCAGCCAGAATACTACATACAAAATAAGTAAAATCTGGTTTTATGGTGGAAGGAGCTAGATGAGGTGCTGCAAGTCTATATTTCCAAGCTTTAGAGGTTGGAGCAAAAGCTTCTCAAGTTCGAGTCCTGGTATTAGGAGGCAGGCATGCTACTTATTAACAGCAGTCTGTGGAGTTAACAGCATAAAGTAGAGTTAAGAGGACCTTTTTTGGGGGCCCAAGCAGTCTTTGTGTTATAGAAGACTATGGTAAAAGAAGGCAAGTTGAAACTTGAAGAAGGTGGCAGTTTAACAAAAAATATTCTCTATGAAAAATCAGAAGAGAAGAAAAGCATCACCATGTTAGGACTAAGAACCTGACCCTTAACACTAGGTACGTGTGTGTGGTGTGCGTGTGTGTTTGTGGGGGGGGGGGGAGTTGGTGGAAAGGGGGCCCAGGTGTTGATTTTCAAGACAGGGTTTCTCTGTGAAGCTTTAGCTGTCCTGGAGCTCACTCTGTAGACCAGACTGGCTAGAATGTAGTCACCTGACCCTTAACACTATGGGTGTGTATGTGTGTGCGCGCGCGCGCGTGCGTGAGTGCGTACCGTATGGTTTTTGTTTTTGGTGCACAATAACAATCTACATCAGTTTCTCATTATTGTATCTATTTAACATTCAGTAAGAAAGTGTTTTTTACTTTTAAAATGCCTTTATATAATAGATTTCCCTTTCAGAATAGAATTAAAAACATTCTTTTTTTATAATAGTGGTATTCCTATTCATGTATTTGGGATTTTCTTGATTTCAAAGGTGCTGGCTGATGGGTTCCTGATGATTGGGATCGATGGCTCAGAAGCAGCAGATGGATCTGACTGGTTCTGTTATCATGCAACCTCTCCTTCTATTTTCCCTGTGGGTTTCTGTGAAATTAACATGATAGAACTGACTCCACCCAGAGGTACTCCATCCTGGTATAAACAATCAGTTTTAGTATTGCTTGGTGTCTATATGGTATCTGCTCACTTTTAGCACAGCCCTAATTTCCTTGTGTGTTTGTTTTGTTGAGATGTATTCTTAGCTGATCTGGAACTCTCTATATAGAACATGGGCATTCTCCTGCCTCTGCCTCCAGAGTTCTTTCTGGGTTTAAAGGCATGCATGTCCACGCCCAGCTTTATACCTTTTAAAAGAAGGTCTTTAGCAACTCATGGTTTTACCGGTGACTTTTGTTTATTTGTTTGTTTTTTGGTTTTGAGACAGGGTTTCTCTGTAACTTTGAAACTTATCCTGGCTTTGTAGACAGAGATCCTCCTGTCTCTGCCTCCCAAATGCTAGGATTAAAGGTGTGCGCCACCACTACCCAGTTCACCAGTGACTAAATTTCAGTGCCTTTGGCTTGGGTTTTTCTCTAAGTAGTATTAAGGAAAAGGCAAGATTTGTCAAAAGTATTTGCTTCACAAAAAGAAATTCCAGAGTATAAAGTGCTAGACTGTTAGTTCTAAAGCCTAGTATTGCATGGAGGAGTTGTAGCTCTTGGTATGCCAAGGCCCTGGATTAGATTTCCAAGGGAAAGAGAAAAATATAAGTCTATCCGTGTAGTTAACAAAAAAGAGTTACTGTGCATTAAAGTAAGGAAGCATACATGTGTGTTTGCAAAGGAGGATATCTTTATAATATAGAGCCAGTATGTTCAGTTATGTTAGAACATGAGTTAGAAGTTGTTCTTATCACCAAGTGAAGTGTACTTTCCTTCAATCCCAAACTTGGGATGGAGAAGCAAGGAACATTAGGTTATCTTCTACTACATAGCATGTTTGAAGCCAACCTGAGCTATTTTGGACCCCAACCTCAAAAATAAAAATATAATTTTTTAAAAGCAGAATAAGCAAGGTGGTGATGGTGCATGCCTTTAATCCAGCACTCAGGCAGGTGGATCTCTGTGAGTTCCAGGCCAGCCTGGTCTACAGAGCACAAGTACTAGGACAGGTTCCACGGCAACACAGAGAAACCCTGTCTTTAAAAAAAAAAAAAAAAAAAAAAAAAAAATGTAAAAAGAAAATATATCACCTAAAATCTAAAATTTCATGTTAGTTATTTAAAATTATGCTCATTTTAAATGACCTGTTAACTAACCCATTTGTATATTTTAGGTTACACAAAACTTCCTTTTAAATGGTTTGACTACCTCAGGGAAACCGGCTCCATTGCAGCACCAGTAAAACTATTTAATAAGGTAATTTTGAATGGTGGCATGATCACGACCTAAGAATAGAAGTTATTCTTGAGCCAAAATTCTTTGCCATATATTACAATTTCTTAATGAAAATTAGTAAAAACAGTGTATTTTCTTTAGGGAAAGAAGAATGTTTATAAACTTTTTCCTTTTTATTTCATGAGTGTAATGGGGGTTCTTTGTGCCAAGACTCATATATAGAGCTCAAAGGGAAAATTTGTGGAGTCAGGTTTCTCTTCCATCTCTACATGGATTCTGGGGGCAAGTACATGTCACCAGGCTTGTACCTTTGCACACTGAACCATTTTGTCAACCCTAAACTATTTGATCTTTAACCATAGGAAAATGAAAATGAATACTTTTCCTGACTAGTTTTTAAATGCTTCCCTATTACAATATGGTGACCTAGCAAAAGAATTGCTGTGAATATTTTTGGGAAATGATTTTAAACGTATCATTTGCTGTCTGGTGATAGCCTACTGTACTCTCCTGAGCACCAGTGTTAATACATTGTTTCTCTGTGTCAGGATGTTCCAAATCCAAATCATTTGCTGTCTGGTGATAGCCTACTGTACTCTCCTGAGCACCAGTGTTAATACATTGTTTCTCTGTGTCAGGATGTTCCAAATCACGGATTTCGTGTAGGAATGAAATTAGAAGCTGTAGATCTCATGGAGCCACGTTTAATATGTGTAGCCACAGTTACTCGAATTATTCATCGTCTCTTGAGGATACATTTTGATGGATGGGAAGAAGAGTATGATCAGTGGGTAGACTGTGAGTCCCCTGACCTCTATCCTGTAGGGTGGTGTCAATTAACTGGATATCAACTACAGCCTCCAGCATCACAGTGTAAGTTGCTGATACAGAAAATATGTACTTTTATTAAAAAGAAAAAAAACAGCTAATTCTTCAGAGGTCTATCTCATGTAAATCAACTTGTAAGCTCACAGGACAAGAATATATCAATGTTTGATGAGTTTCTAGGTAAGATACTAAGACTCAACAGTATCACAGAATTAGACTGTATGCCATGGTGATATGAACTCATTATCGGTTACTTAGTAAATAGAGAACAGAAGTCACCAAGTTAAACTGCACTATTGTCAAATTGGACATTACAGGCTAAAAAAATGTATCATTCATAAATGTTGTTGAGTAAATAGTAGATTCTATCTAGTAATAAAGTGAATAGTTTTGTAAGATCAAATATACCTTTAAAAGTAGTGTGTACTTCTAAAAGCATAACGATCTTCAGAAAGATAATTCATCCAATTTCTGTCTAGGATTGTAATTTTTCCTATTTTATTTTCCAGCATCAAGAGAAAGCCAGTCAGCTTCTTCAAAACAGAAGAAAAAGGCTAAATCCCAGCAATACAAAGGACATAAGAAAAGTGGGTCACCATGTGTTTGCATATATTTTCTAAATATTGATCAATTGAGGTCATGGTATTCTTGCACAGAAAATTACATACCTGATGCTTGTTCACTATGTATTACGCTTAAAGGTGCAGTATGACATAAAAGGCCAACCTTTTTGATACTAAGAAACACTTTTAATTGACAGGAGCAATCAGATATTCTTTATCTACGTGTTTAAAGCACACAGATAAAGAATAGAGCCTGAGAATGGTTCTTGAAATAATTATATACCCACTCAAAGTTAATCACTTTTTTAAAAACATTTTTAATGAAACAAAAAAAAAAAAAACAGTGCTTGATGCTTACAGTAGCCATTATTCCTACAAAGTACCACTCTATCTAGGATGATAATCCTGAGGAGACAGTTCAGTGGGTAGAATGCAATGTGGAACCCTGGTGTGGTGGCATACACCTTTGGTCCTAGCACTCAGGAGGAAGAACCAGGCCAGTCTCTTGAGTTTTAGACTAGTGTGGTCTATAGAGCAGGTTCCAGGGCAGCAAGATCTATGCAGAGAAACCCTATCTTCAAAAAAAAACCCACTAAGGTGGAAAGTGATAAGCTTCCACAAGGAAGAACACATTCCCTCATACATGGGTATATCACATGTCACAGACACACACCAAAATAAGGGGGGGAAAACTGAGTTGATGTCTAGCTAGCAAAGTCAGATTTTAAATGCTTCCTATAATGCATTTTTCTTAAATTATGGTTGTCTTTATTATCAGTAGTGGTATAAAATATTTTTCACTACCATAGAAAGCCACAGGTTTTTCTATTCGTGAAACTTGTATTCTAAGATTGTACCTAAGGATTAAACAGATAGTATCTGTTCTTACCAATTAACAGTTATTGTTAACTTTTTCTAAGTGACAAACCTAATTATTGTGCTGGCGCTTTGAAAAGCAAGGTGGACAGTGGTAGAGCTCTCCTTTAATTCCACCACCTGGGAAACAGAATTCATGGTCAGCCTAATCTAGTGAGTGAGTTCTAGGATAGCCAAGACTATGCATAGAAACCCTGTGTCAAGAAATAAAAAGAAAAATAAGGTTCTTCCCATCATGACAATGTATCCAGTCTCAATGAGTGATTACCTTCATGACATCATCACAAAGCAGGCTTGTCCCCTGCCCTTTCCTCTGTGGGCAAAACTTCCCACAGACCCATTACTCTACCCATCAGGATCTTGTTAGTACAGCAGTTTGATTACAGGAGCTTAGAGAGCACTGCTAGACCATTCACAGTCAGAGTGAGATCTGCTGATTTGAATGTGCTTAGGAAGAATCACGTGTTAATTTTGTGTACCTAAATGAACTATAGCGGGTATGCTCACTCAGCTTTCTGTAAAGTGAATTTAACAGACTTGTTTACCATTTTGTGTTGGATAAGAATTTGAGAAAGATTTCAGAAGTTTCTAAGACATTTGAAGTCAAACAATGGTTTTAGCCAGGCATGGTGGCATATGACTATAATCCCAGCACTCAACAAACAGGCAGGAAGATTGGGATTTCAACATCATCAGTTCCATAAACAAGTTCAAGGCCTACCTAGGCTACATGAGACCCTGTCTTAAGGGGGCAGGGAGAATACACACACACACATTCCCTTCCATTGATATATAAATAGTCTTTTTTACTAGTTAGGTGTGGTGATTCATGCTTGTAATCTTAGCCCTCAGGAAGCTAAGGCAGAATGATGGCCACAAGCTTCAGGCCAGCTTGGGCTATAGAATAAGACTGTCTTCAAAAACAGAAAGAGGAGTCAGGCAGTGGTGGTGTACACCTTTACAATAATCCCAGCACTCAGGAGGCAGAGGCAGATGGGTCTCTATGAGTTTGAGACCAGCCAGGTCTACACAGCAAGTTCCAGGACAGGCTCCAAAGCTATATAGAGAAACCCTGTTTGAAAAAAATCAAAAGAAAAGAAGAAAGAAGGCTGGAGAGGTGGGTCAGCCTTTAGCAGCACTTGGCTGCCTTTGCATATGACCAGATTCAGTTCCCAGAAACTACATCAGGCAGTTTACAAATGCCTATAACTCTAATTCCAAAGGATCCCAGGCCTTTTCTGTATCAGAGCTGACCAGCACACAGGGAATGCGCACACATACATACACACACACTCCTTTACTAACTAATGAGCATTATATGCACAGTTCTCTTGCCTCCCTTTTTGTGATCCTTGCAGGGTTTGTTTCTGGCTTAAATATTTGAATTGCTGAATTCCTAGGGTAGTAATATGGGGATAAATGAATGAATTGACAAAGCAAGAATATCAGTTAAACCAATTACAGTGCCATTTAATGTTGCTAGATTTCTGAGTTAGAGATTAACTTTAGTTATAGATGGAACATAGCCCTTAACTCCTCTGGCATTTTGATCTTAATACTATGACATCATCTCTTATGCCTTAAAATTATTTGGACATAGAAAGAAAACCCCTTGGGACCAGATATATATTTTTTTTTGTTTTGTTTTGTTTTGTTTTGTATTAGGAATTTTTCCCTTTTAGAAAGGAACGTGTTTTCTGATGCAAAATACAAATGTTTACAGTAAGTAGACCAAGTGAAAATAATAAGTGTATCATCAAGTGAGTATGGTTTTATTGCCAAACTCTTAGAAAAAATGCTTTTTGAATGTTAGAATTGAAGAACTATAATAAGAAGAGTAGTTTTACATTGTTAAGGTACTATCTGCTTCCTGTTTTGTATGATTTGGGGGGAGGGTAGTTGAAACAGAATTTCTCTGTATAGCGCTGGCTGTCCTGGAACTCAATTTGTAGACCAGGCTGGCCTTGAACTCAGAGATAACCTGCCTCTGCCTGTGGATTGCTGTGATTAAAGGTGCCTGCCACTGGCTGGCAGGATTGTTTTCCCCCATTATACAAACTTCTTAGAAATCTTGCCCGTAAGGCTAGGTATGGTGTCTCAGGCCCATAATTCCAGTACTCAGAGACAAGAAGATTGCTGCAAATTGAAGGCCAGTCTGAGCTGCATAGTGAGTTCCAGGCCAACCAAAATTGCAGAATTGAGATCCTGTCTCAAGGGGATGGGGGTACAGAGTGGTGCTGGAACGCTAGCTCAGTTGGTAAAGTACTTGCCACACAATTACGAAGACCAGAATTTGACTCCCTAAACCTACATTAAAAACAAACTAACAAACCAAAAAATGTGACACATGGTTATAATCTCAGTGTGAGAAGGCAGAAATAGGAAGATCCTGTGGTTCTCTGGGTGACTAGCTAACCTAATTGGCAAGTTCCAGAAGTGTATGACAACTGAAGTTGAACTCTGACCACGGACACATACACATACACTGTCATCAACACATACACACACACACAAATCCTTCCCACAAAATCTGTTAGCAAAACATGAAAGAACTTGGAATTTAAAAATCCAAGTTGTTGCTGGACAATGGTGGCTCATGCCTTTAATCCCAGCACAAAGGAAATGGATCTCTATGAGTTTGAGACCAAGCTAGTCTATAGATGGAGTTCCTGTAGAGCCAAGGTTACACAGAGAAACCTGACTTAGAAAAGACAAACACTGGGAGGTGGAAAGAACACTTGCTGTGTAAGAGGACCCAAGTTAAAATCCAACACCCACAGTGAGTTGTTCATAACTGTCTAACTGTATCAGGGTAATCAACAGACTCTTGCCTCTGATGGTACCTGTATATATGTGCATGTTGACACACAGGTGCACACACACATAAACATAAAATAAAAATCGAAGTTGTCCATTGCAGGAAACTTGTCCATAACAGAAGAGCTTCAGAACCTGCTGTCTGCCTTTTAAGTTTGCTGGTGGATTGTTGGGGCTTTGTTGTTTCTTTAAACTTAGTCATCTTCTGTACTGTAGTTGTTACGGTAGTCTTTATTGTCTACCCCAGTAGTTGATTGTCTTCATTGTCTGGCATGGTGAACAGTGAGTCCAGTTGTTAACTAGCCCTTTGGAAAGTAAGGATCTAGTTTTACCAGGAGGATCTTATGAGCTGCTCAGCCTCAAAGAACATTATCTCAAACTATAGTAATTCTGAGGTAGTTTTAATTTTCACCATTTTCAGGAGCTACTATGTAGAACTTGGTGGACTTTCCTAGTATTGTACTCATAATGTGTTAGAAAAAGTCAGGTAGTCACTGCACATGACAGTGGCCTGGCAGTTGAGAGCTGAGTGTGAACTCACTTGGATTTCAGGTTCATTTTATATGGAAATACTGATTACTTAGATTTATTCATTTCATTCCAATTATCTAAAGCTTAGCTGATTACTGGGTCATTGTACACTTAGGAGGAAGATGTGCATTTATAGAGATAAGACTATCTTTCATTTTGTACTCTTATTGCACTATGCCTGGCAGTTCAGTATTTGCAAAGTTTAAAGGATATTTTAGTTTGGTAAAAGCATTTTGTGAGTTCTGGAATGTAGTTTGTTTATGAACCTATAACTAAAAGTGTTACATGCCTTTAACCTTAGCACATAGGAAGTAGGAACAGAAAGATCAGAACCTCAAGTTCATCCTCAGCTATCTAATGAAATTAAGGCTAACCTAGTCTATAAGAGACTTTGCCTTGAAAACTAATAATTATTAAGGAAAGCTGAGCACAGTGGTGCACACTTGCACTTCCAGCACTTGGGAAATGGTGGCAAGATGATCAGAAGTTTAAGGCCAGCCTTATCTACATAGTAAGTTAAAAACCAAGCTGGGTTGCCTGAGATCTTGTCCTAATATGTGAGATTAAGAACTTGTAACCAATATGTAATGCACTTTGAGTTTTAGAAGTACTTTTCTGGGTCAGGATTACAAATGCTGTCTGAATGTACTGCAGACAAAAACTTAGGAGAGCACTCTATATAGCAATGAGATTGTGCTACCCATTCAAGACATATGATGCTAGTTTGTTTGATTTCTCACCTGAAGGGCCATAATTAGGCTTCTGTAGCTAAGGAAATGCAGCCTTAAAAGATATGCTCAGAGACTTTCTCTTGGGATCAGTGTGCAGATCACTGTAGCACTTGCTAGTGTGCATGAGAGCCTGCTGGTCTACAGCACTACTACAAGAAAGTAAAGGACTTCTCCTTCCATTGGCTTTTTACCCAGTATTCAAGCTGAGTTTTCTTGAATGAAAGTAACCCAGCAGTTAGTTGTCCTCACTAACTTATAGTTGTTTTGCCTTATTCATTTTTAAGCTTGAGAGTAAAGACCTGGATTGTCAAACCTGAGATTCCAGAAGCAACCTGCCCCCCAGCATGTCATATGCAGTTCATATGGACACAACACACACACTCTCTCATACTCATTTACAGAAGTTGCTTTAACTTCACACAGTCAATTGACTGCAGTGTCCTATAGCAACCGAGCCTCCCTAGTAATACGATGCACTTTTTTTTACCACACACCTAAGTCAAAGCTTACTTCAGTCTGACTTGATGTTTAGAGAGGAAGATGCCAGTTGGGAAGAAGCCTGTCAGTTTGTCGAGCCTGCCCATGACAGGCGGGGTGCGGAGGAGCTTCTCTGGGGACGAAGAGTTGACTCCTCCTCCATATCGAACCCTGCCAGCACAGACAGCCCTGGAGGCCTTCCCACCTCCCAGCACTAGCCGAGAGTTCAGGCCCAGCCTCAAAACAGGTAACTAGTCACGGCAGCACCACAGGTACTACAGAGGGTCAGGTGCTGGGCAGGGTGGTGGGAGACAAAGCATGGTCTGGCGTGACAGTGCTGACTCATCAAAGTTTTCTTTTTCCTTTTTTTTTTTTTTTTTTTTTTTAACTAAAATGTCCATTTTCACTGGTTCTTGGTAGTCATTTCACTAAGTCATCAGGAAAGGAGTTTTTGCTTTCCTTACAGAGCATCTGTGAAAGCTGTCATTTTAGCTTTTAGAATTATAAGGCAACTTCCAATATTTCATGCTTTAATTAAAATAGCTAACATATTACATTGTAGACTTCCGTGTGACTTAACTTGAGGGAGAGAGCCATCCTGAAGAACTATTCTGGTTAATCAGACCTAAAAGTGAGACATTCTCTATAACATTCCGTAGTGGCTCATTCTTGGAAAAATGTGTATTGAGTTCAAGTAATTTTAGTTGTAGTAGTAAATCTTAGCTGAATATCATCACAGACTTGAAACATATTATTAACTGTATATCATGGTGCTGAATTAGATTGAATTTTTTTGCCATAATTCTATGTTTTGGTGTGCACAGTAATTAAGTGAGTGACATTTCTTGGTGTTAGTTGGTTAGGTCAGGGTCTGTCGTACAGTCAAGGAAAACTGCTCAAGGTTTTGCCCCTTGTAGTTGCTGAGAACAAAGCTTCTTTTAGATAAGAGTATTGATCTTGGAGCTTCAAAGCTAGAGGGCATGTTTTATTAACATATATCCTTCCACAGTTTAAGGATTGCTTTTCAATTGACTTACTTTAACTGATCAGCATTTCCTAAATGGCTTTGTAGTTTGAAAACATACATGAAACTTAGTACCTTGTTCCCTTTTCTGCTTGCCAGGATGTTTGTACCTGACATTATCAGTCATTTTTTTTTTCTCTCTCTCTCTTCAATTTAAGGTGTACTCCTTAGCTCTCACAGCTCTGTGCAGTCATCTTGAGCTTTTCACCAGTCAGTTTTTCTGATGATCACTATGGTAGCCTTACATCAAGGGAGAGTTCCATGCTTCATTTTATATGAAGAGCAGATTAGGATTACAAATCCCAGGTTTAATCTGCTTTGCCAGGCATGGTGTAAGACCTGTAAACCCAGCAGTAAGATTGTGGATTCCAGGCAACCTCCTGAGAGAGTCTCTGTCTCCAAAACAGTCTGCCTCTGTCTCTCAAGTACCCCAAAAAAGAAAAAAAGGAAGAAAAAAAAACCTAACAGTGTTAGCTATTCTTCTAATGTATCAACCTCTAAAAAATAAGAGCATTCCAGTTCATTGTTAACTTTTCTCTTTTCATACATGCTACTTACGAAGCAGTATTTTACATGATTAAATATGAATGTTCTTGCCTTTTTAAATGTGTATTAGCTCTTCAGAGCATTTTCTTTAAACAGACTAATTTTGGAAGTGTATGTTTTGGTAGAGGTTCTGATTCACAAGCTGAACTTGTGAGATGCTACAGGGAAAACCTCATGGCTTCTAACTTTAGTGCCTATCTTCTTCTGAGCTCTGGGGCATGTCCTGTGGGCTGTGGTGTGGTCTCAGTGAAACGATGTGGAAACTGTACTCCTACCTTCAAGTCTGAAAATCCGTATTAGCTGTTTGGAGAATGTATTATTATTGGCTTTGTATCTATGAAATGTCACTTCCATTTGTTACTTTTGTGAACTGTTGGTGGTTAGTGTCACTAAAGTGAATTCCTTTTAAAAGCAGAGTTGGTATAAAAATGTAACATTGAGCCACTTGATCTATTGGATTCATCCATCATTAGTTGAGAATAAAGACTAGGAAGAAAGGATTATCCCAGGCAGGTTTTATTTTAGTTTCCATGATAGTGAAAGTTTGCATTAAAACATTTCATACCTGAGTGATGAATGATTCACCTTTATCTTTAGTGATTTTGAAGTACATCATTTCCATATTTTAACATGATTCTACCCCAGATAGTTGTTTTGAGTACAAATGAATACAGCTTTAGGATATGCTTTAGATCCTCAGCTTTTCTTTCTTACATAAAACACATCTGTTTGAGTGAAACATCTTTGATCTTGAAGCATGGTAATTCCCATTCATTTAGCCATCTAATCATCGTATAACAAGATAAAGTTCAACCTTTTATTGTGGGTACTGCACCTTTAATGAAATGTGGGTTTTGTTTCCATGTTTATCCTTGTGATAGTACTAAAATGTCTCTTAATACTTAATGCATGTTGGTTAGATCTTGAAAGATAACTATTGCATATTTTCTACTATTCATTAGAACACATTTTTATTAAGCAAAGGAAGAACTATATAGTTGCACATTCTTTGCCTTTCAACAATGTGTTATTTCTTCTGCTCTTACTGTACACAGTATATTCACTTTTTTGTCTTTGGGCTATTAAGTCTTTCACCATCGATACCAAAATAGGAACCAAAGAAAGATGAATTGTAATCTCAAAACATTATTCCTTAAAATTAGTAAAAGATGTCAGAAGTGCTGGCTGATGGTGCATGCCTTTAATCTGAGCACTCAGGATTTGGATCTTTGTGAGTTCAAGTCTAGTCTAGTCCACCTACATAGGAAGTTCCAAAAATACAGATAAATATTTTAAAAGATGTCCTAAGTAAGGATGAGTTTTTGTATTTGTCTGTTGGTCTTGTTATATAGTATGTAGTCTGTGCCTCAAACTCAAGATCCTCTTGCTTCATTCAGCCTCAAGACTGCTAGGACTATTGGTGTGAGTCAACACACTTGGACTAGAAGAGGCATCATTAATTTTTAAAGAAATCTTCATCAACTAAAATAGTACAGAGTGTAGACGTGTAGTCCAATGGTAGAGTACTGACCTAGCATACAAAAAAAAAAAAAAACAAAAAACAAATTAAGTCTCTAGCACCATGAAAAAATAAAATGCTAGGTGTGGTAACGTCACATAATTGTAATCCTAGCACTTGTGAGGCTAGGCAGGAAGATCACAAATTCTCATCTAGTCTGGTATCCTAGCAAAGACCCTGTCTCAAACTTTAAAAGGGGGCTTGGGGTGGAGGTTTTAGCCCATGAGGTAGAGCATTTGCCTAATATGCCCAAAGCCCTAGAATCAATTTCCAGCACGAGGAATGAGGGACAGAAGGAAGAAAGGAAATACAAGGGGTTTTGTTGTAAGCAGGTTTATATTCCACATGCAGGCACCCTTCATTCAAATGTACGTTCTAAAGCCCCACCTTGGATACCTCAAACCATAGATAGTACTAAACTACACACGCATGTGTGGTCTGTGTATATAGAGAAATCAATCATATGTACTGTATGCTGTATTTTTCTAGTACATACATATAATAAAGCTAATTTCATATTTAGATATATTAAAAGATTAAAAGCAGTTTACTGTGGTAGCTCACACCTGTAATCTCAGCACTTGTAGGCTGAAACAGGAAGCTAGCCTGGGCTACATGAGCTCTTGTCTCAAAAAAAAAAAAAAGGAAGAAAAGAAAAATAAACATAGGGTTCAGGTAAGAGGAGGGAGCCATAATTAGAGACCTCAGATTTATCAGAACTGAGTTGCCTGAAGAAATGTTAGCTGGATGTGGCAATGTATATCTACAATCCCAGCCTTTGGAGGTTGAGGCAAGAATATCACAAATTTAAGGCCATCTTGATCTACATAAACAGACACTGTCATAACTGTCATGTTGAGTATTATATCTCCAAATGTATAAGAAACATGTTAGTTTCTATAGGCATTGACATAAAAGTGAATATTTAATAGTAAGAATTTCAGTTATTTTAGTTGAATTAGTGAACACTGTTACTCATCATTCTATTGAAGATTATTCAGTGTAGTATCCAGTGTGCATCATTGTTCTTTTCCTAAACATTTAATTGACTATATACTTTAAAATTAAAATTAGGATTGAGAGGTGTAGCCCAATGGTAGAGTATTTGCCTAACATACACATATGTAAGACCCTAGAACCACACACAAAGTTAGTATTTTTAAGACATTATCATTGTCTGTTTTGCAGAGCTGGGGTCAAGTCTATCACCTCACGCATGCTAGGCAAACATTCTACCCTTGAGTTCCACCTAGCCTTCCATGATTTCATCTTTATAGGTATTGAAGAAATGACGTCTTCTTAGCTGTAAAATTGATAGAACATGAAGATGAACAACCAGGGCACTCCAGAAGACTTGGTAACATCCCGTGCATTTCTGTCTCATACAGTGACCACATCGCAGCTGAAGGAGGAGCTGCTAGATGGAGAGGATTATAGCTTCCTCCAAGGAGCATCTGACCAAGAAAGCAATGGCTCTGCCACCTTCTACATCAAACAAGAGCCATGAGGTGGCTCAGAAACTAGGGGTGGGAGGGACTGTTTTACAGGACAGATTTGTAGTCATCCAGCTGTACAATGGGCTATTCTACTGGGACATTTTGCTAAACACAGAAAAGTTCAGTTCCAGATTTTTCAGGTGGGGGGAAACTATTTTGGTGGGGGGGGAATTTTTCAATTTATAAAGATGGACGATTTTTGTGTTGTATTTGAAGCTTTTGAAAGAATTTTGTAATATTTTCCAAGTTTGGATTTATGTGCATTGTTAACAAGAACTGAAATTCTAACTTTTTTGGTAAGATTAAAGTTTAGGTAGCAGGATTGAAGGAAATGATTAAGAAGGACATAGCTGTAAATGCAAATGAACTGTCATTACAAATGAACCTTCTTGGTACCTGTTGGGAGATTTTTGGATTTTAGAGTTAGGCCAGTCACATCTCCAGCTTCCTTTGCTGCAGAAATATGCAACTGAACCCCTCACAGAGGGCTCATCACCATGTAGATCACGGAAGGGGTCATTAATTGTGCTCGCTGACATTTTATTGCAGCCCATTTAAATGTTTGTACAGAAATTTTTTCATTCTGCTAAAATTTATTTGGAGTTGTATATGAAACTAGGAGAACTCTGGATACTTTTATATGCTCTCCTTCACATAAAAATGGTAACTTTTCTAACACTAATGTGTTAAACTGGAATGGTTGACAAGATATACAGGATCTCAGTCTACATAAGGGTTGGGGGAAATGAATATTTTCCTAAGTTTATTCTATTTTCCTTGCTAGAGAGCATTCTTTATCCCATAAAAGGATGTTCTTATCAAACCTCTGCCTGCCATTTCCCTCCATCTGAGAGAGAGCAACTTAATGTAATGTAACCACACCTGAAAACAGATGTTCTATATTACCAAGGGAATCAGATGGAAAATTGTTAACCAGAATAACTTTAGATTTCAGAATCATTCCAGCTCCACTTTTAACTTCCCTGGATTTGTTAGAAACTGATTTGAAAGAAAGCTGAATTTTCTTAAAATTCCATATATATACACACACACACATTATGAGTCGCCTTTAACTGTAGTCAATTTATTTTAACAATAACTGATTTGGACCATTTTAAACATTCCCTATTTTAAAACTCATATGGCTTCCTTTAAAAAATAGGATGAAAGGGTAAATTGGTGAAAAGTTTGCTCTCTGCATTTTCTACCCTTCTACCGAGTTGTGACTGAATGAGAGCTCTAGAATTTACCAGTGAGGTTCATAAACTAAACTCTCAGGAATTCATTGCATCTGTTCTAGAAGTGCTTCTGGGTCTGAGCCTGGCCTCTTCAGAGTGGTAATACTGCCCATCTCCTCTGGAAAAATAGGCAGGGCTAATGAGAAATTAATCAAAATGATTAACCTCTGCAGCCCTTCAGCCTATGGAATGCTTTAAAAAACGCTAATGGAAAGCCCCAGGAGACATTTTAGGTAAGATTTTTGTTTGACTTTTAAATGCATAGAACATTAAAAACCAGCAATTTATTTTCTAAAATATTGCTCTACTTTTGGGAATAATAGCATTGGTAATACGCACAGGTTTACCTCATTCTATGCAAGAGGGGTTAATAACATAAGGTTTTGTAGTAGCTACTGGAAGTAAAATGTGTTACTTTATAGTGTAAAAATGTATGGAATCGCATGTCACCATTTCTTAATACTGACTCTGGGGGCTAAATGTAGATCACATCAATGCAAGTTGAATCTTGTGTCAAATATATGTGAATTCAGCTGTAAAATTACTGGATATTTATCTTAAACAACATTGCTGAGAGGGACCTACTGTAAATGTGACATCCTCAAACTTCCCAAATCTTTGACTTTGAAGGATCTTCCCAGGAGCTTCAAGCCTAGAAGAGGTCCAAAGCAAAGGTTATAGCAGTCTTTATTCTCAGGCTCAGCGGATTAAACCCAGGACTGTGCTTCCATGGTACCAGCACAAGAAGCCTGTTGTGTGGAGTGCTTTCTTCATACCTTAGGTGTAGGAGCTCTCCAGGGAATGAACTGTAAGCCAGGAAGGATGTGATTTCATGCCAGCCAGTCCTGGTAATTAGTTCTGTGAAATGCTCATTTGTAGCCAGGTTTTACAAGCTTCCAATTATACACCAAAACCAGGCTTGGCATGTTTAAAATTCCCCGCCTACATTTATAACGTGTTTATGTTCACCAACAGTGAAGGGTTGGTAAGGACTTGTTAAAGAGTCTGAACACAACCTGAAGCCCTCTTCTTTGTTACGACCCTCACTCCTGCTGCTAACACAGAAAGTTAACCAGAGGAGGCTTCCATCGTAGCCATAATTACTGTCGTCAAATAACTCAGTAGCCCCTTTCTCTTTTACAGTTTAAAATGTACTGCTGACCTTGGGTTTGTTTCTGTTTTCCTGTTAGGAGCCTGGGAACTTTTTAGTAGTTAAACTTTCTATCTAACCTTTTCCTTGCTGTGTATGAGGAAAGCTAAAGCTGTTATCAACTTCTTATTCTGCGGATACTAACACGGGTTTTCAGTGTTTGTTTGTTTTTATTATTGTTAATTTTGTGTGATGTGAATACCCTCACCCATCAATATTTGTATTATGGTGCTATATATTTGGTAATGATCCTTTAATATTGGGGAGGGATTTTAAAAATACTGTGATTAAACTGGGTATCTTCCTTTGATTTTCATATTTTAAATAAAGCCACAGTCATTTATACAAAAAAAAAAACAAATAAATAAATAAATAAAGATGCATCTGTCCCTGGACAAACCTTTCAAGGACAGAGGCCAAAGTAAAGTACATAAGGTTTTTACATCATTTCTGTGTTTGATATATAGATCAATATCTGGACAAATTCAACCTTTTATTTTCTGGTAACTTGTGATCATTGAGGAAGCGTTTGAAGCTTTCTCTTGAAGTGTATATAATGTCGTGAAAAATCCCTTCAGAGAAATTTATGTTCCTTTCATTTTTACCAAAATGCAAATTTTCAGCATGGATGTGAAAAGCATTAAAATTATAACTTTGTGTACAAGATGAAAATAATTCACTAAATTTGCCCTTTTTTACACAAAATAAAATGTTAAAGTTAAGCTTTATCAGTTTCTTAATGCTTGTTTATTAGGGAGTGTGGGTGGATGTGCCGTGGTGCACATGAGCTCAGACAACTTGCAGAAGTCAGTTCTCTCCTTCCACAGATGAGTCCTGGTGTGGGACTGAGGTGGTCAGATACAGCAGCAAGCCCCTTGTGCATGGCTCCTGAGGGTGGGTGGGTGGGTGGGTGGGTGGGTGGGTGTGGGTGTGGGTGTGGGTGGGTGTGGGTGTGAGTGATCAATCATTCTTTTCACTGTGGGATCTGAGAATTTAACTAGTCAGGCTTACCCTGTACATTCTAACCTCTCCCTGAGGCCACGTGCGATTAAGCAGTTATATAGTAGGTGGTTGAATGGCTGTGTACTCAGGGCCAGATAGTAACCCTCACCACCTCTCCATTAGGGAGCATAAACAGTTGACAATGGGACACATCTGAACTGCCCAAGATGGCCTCAAAGGATAGTCACAAAATAAAGGAAAAGGGTACTGTGAGGAGGAACTTCCTGCTATCCAACTGTCCTCAGCTGTATTTGAGCTGAAATTACATGGCTAAGCAGGAAAAGGGCCACAGCCAGAGCAAGAGCAAAGGTGTGTGTCACTTGTGGGGAAGTTTAGAACATTGTGCTTTGGAGTCCATACTCTGGGTAGTTGTGTTTGTGCCAAGGCTGTCAATCCCTCCCCAGGCCTCAGGTACACTAGCAAGTATTTTACCAGAGACATTCCCCAGCCCCATTTGAATCAGATGTGTGGAGTTTTTTCCCCCCACACCAAGTAGAATTCTAGTAGATACCACCTGGGTATCTTGGCAAGCTGGCTCAGCAGGTAAAGGCAATTGCCACCTAGCCTAACAACCTGAGTTCAGTCCCCAAGATCCCCATTGTGAAAGGAGAAAACAGTTGAAAAAGCTGTCCTCTGGTTCCACTCCTGCAAGATATATATCAATATCAACGTGTGTGCCTTCACACAATAAATACAGCTTTTTTTGTTTTTTGTTTTTTGTTTTTTTTTTTTAAGAAAAAGGTGGCTGACACTGTAAAAAGGTAATGGATTTGATTCCCTAATATCACAAAAGACAAAGGGTAAGCACACAGACAGGAATAATGTGAATACCAGCCAAATGCTGTCCTTTGGACTTCTCTGGATGTCATTACCTAGACATAATTGGTCATATGTTTGGCCACTGGTGACAGGTCAACCTTTAGTTCCTGTCACCCTCCTTTTGGGGTTTCCTGGAGCTTCATCATCTCAACATACAGACACTTTTTATCAGAGGAATTAGTTTAGGAGCTGTATGCAGACAGGCAGAGACAAGGTCATGTGTTACATCAGTGTCAGTATTCAGTATACAAAACAAAAAAAAAAAAAAAACAGCCAGGTAGTGATGGAGCACACCTTTCTTTAATCCCAGCACCTACAAGGCAGATGCAGATGATCTCTGAGTTCCAGACATCTGGGTCTGGTTCTACAGAGCTAGTTCAGGGTAGCCATGGCTACATGGAAGAACTCATTGTCTTAGCTAGGAGTGACAGTTTCCACCAACTTTTATTTTAAGATATGGTCTTAGGTACCCCAGATTGGTCTCAAAACTCACAACCCTCCTACCTCAGTGACAGAACTACAAATGTGAGCCACCAAGCCCAGTTTATCAGTTTCAAAATATTCAACAGGCACTTGTTTGAGAGACAGAAATACAGCCTCCCAAGAATATGCTAAGTACCCCATGGTGATGGTGATGGGTAAGCCTAAAATACCAAAAATCTCTTACCTCGGGGGCCTGGAGAGATGCTTCAGCAGTTAAAAACACACTACTTTCCCAAAGAACCCAAGTTTGGCTCCCAGTACCCAAAGTGGGCAACTCTGAACCACTCCAGCTTGAGGTCACCCACACCAGTGCATAGGCATCCTATCACAGGGGAACGTGTTAAGGGAAGAAATGGTCAGAAGACCTAGGTTCAATACCTAACACCCACGTGGCAGCTTCCAACAAGTATAAATCTAGTTCCAGGCAATCAGACCTTCTGACCTCTGTACAACAGACCCACACATGCATGTAGACAAAACATTTAGAGACAATAGACACATTCAGTCATTGATGAGAGGGAATAAGGCTGCAGAACAGTTGTACAAGCTTCAGGCTGGGAACTGCATTAATTGCTCTTTAAACAACAAAGACATAAATCTGGCCTACTTGGCTTTGTTTCGATGTTACCATGTTTTCACACACCAGTTTTGTAGAAAGGCACATCTATCAGCTAGTGCAATTGGGGTTGTTTATTTCCTTAAAGTGCCAGTGTCACACTTTGACTCTCCCCTAGTACCGTCCCTCATAAGTATTTTGACCTCTAGCTTGTTTCTGAGAAGATTCAGATTATTCTTCATAGTAAATGCCATCATAGTCATGGGACAAAAATCAAGTCTAGCAAATGAGCACAGGACACTGCATCCACTTCCAAAAGTGTTTTGTTTTGATTGATTTATTTATTCTAGTCTTTGTTGTTTTAGAAAAGATGATCCATTCATTCTTTGGAATGAAGAGCTGTGTTCAGGGATCCATCAATAATGCTGAAAAGGACCCAGATATCCACCTCTACTCATATACCCAGTCATGAGCACAAGGCTTGTAGTCAATCAGTTCTTCAGGCTTAAACCATAGATTGATCTCTTTCTCTGCACTTTGCACTGAATCACTACCATGAATGATGTTCCTAAAAAAAAAAAAGAAAGGAAGACAGACAGATAGAAAGCTCATTTGTTAGTGTTTTAAGTGCCAGAGTCCAAAGGGCAGACACTGCAGACCTTTTCAATCAAAGGCCCACCTGAGTATCCCAAAACCCAACTGTAGGACTGAGGATGCTAGTCTAGAATGTATGAGGCCCCTACATTGAATCTTCAACATAACAAAACATTTAGCTAAAATCCAGTAAGAGCACTTGTTGCTCTTGCAGAGGACCCTGGTTGGAGTCCACATGGTGGCTTGCAACCACGTCAAACTCAGTTCCAACACATCTCCTAATCTCTTCTGACCTCTAGACGCAGGGCACACACATGATACATGCAAACAAAACACTCCAAAAAAATCTTTTAAGTTATGAAGGTGTTAAGACAAAAACGCCTTAGTTAACTTCCAAATCTTCCCTTCAAGAGTATTTATAACCCAAGATTGTTACTACTGCCAAAGAAAAGGTCCTTCTTAATAAATTACTGAAAAATAGAAGTGGACAACCTCCAAATCAAAACCAGTCCTAATTTGGAGGGTGACAGGTGAGTCTCAAATAAAGCTAGAAATGACTTTGAACTTTCTGATCTTCCTGCCTCCACCTCCCAAATATTGGAATTACAGCATGTGCCACCATATCTGATTTGCATGGGCTGGAAATTCTCTTTTTGGTTAGTTGGTTGGTTGGTTTCTCTGTGTAGCCCTAGCTGTCCTTGAACTCCTTGGCCTCAAACTTAGAGATCTGCCTGCTTCTGCCTCCCAAATTGGAATGAAGTTGTGCACCACCATACCTGGCATGTATTTTCTTAGTGACTTGCAAACCAAACCATGCCATCCATGCTTGCTAGTAATAATCCTTTTATTCTTTCTGAATCTACAAATTTTAGGTACAAGGAATCATAAACGGTTAGGTTTCCCATCCTTACATGCAGTGCCATATCTGGTTGAGGTTAAAACCCTTTTTTCCCCACATAAGAACTATCACATACAGCTCTTGGTCTTAATTATAATTTTTAAACAATCATTCATGAAAGTGTTTAGTGATAATTTCTACCTTAAAAGTTAAGGTTTTCCTAAACTTGAGATATGCTCCAAAGGATATATACTCCATTAAGAGTTAAGTGTTATTATGCCTGGTGGTGATAGCACATGCCTTTAATCCTAGCACTTGGGAGACACAGGCAGGTACACCTCTATGAGTTCAATCAAGGCCAGCCAGGTCTACAAAGTGAATTTTAGTATAGCCAGGACTGTTACACAGAGAAACCCTGTCTTGGGAAAAAAAAAAAAAAAAAAAAAAAAAATTCTAAAAGTTATTACTTCCCTTCACACACACAGCACATACACTTACCTGCCAACCTGAATGCAAAAATCCCCTCGAATGGTGCCTGGCTTAGAATCAGCTGGATTGGTCTCTCCCAGCATCATTCGACCTGTCTTTACCACATTGAGCCCCTCCCAGACCTTGACAGAAGAAAAGTCAATTACTATGACAGAACCATTAAGGACTCTGATTTATGGCATTGTGGCCATCAGATAACCCCAACAGAGAGCAAGAGCCTATGTTTTAAATTCATTTAACAAAGAGAGGACAAAGTCTGGGGAAAGATCAGTGATCAGTGGGAAGGGCCTCCTTGGGAAAGAGATGGCAAGGGTTAATCGTAAAGGAGAATGTACGTCAAGGGAAAGAAGGCAAGGACAAGTCTAGGAAATGGAAGAACTCTTAGATAATTTCGTTGCCTTTTCCTTACACTATTATGTCCCCAGGGGACATCAAAGCCACCCAGAAGACACTGCAGGGCTGTAGTGCAGGACCAGAGAACTTTCGCATTATGGACTACATACCTACAAATACTTTTCTAGGTCTAGGAAAGTAGCATTGCAGTCAAAAGTACTTGTCAGACATAGTGCTTCTTTGAGAACCTAGAGACTTGCCTTAAGGTCTTTTCATTTATTTGTTTGAAACCAGGTTTCTCCATGTAACCCTGGCTGTCCTAGAAAACTGTAGATCAGGTTGTCCTTGAACTCACAGAGAGCCACCTGCCTCTGCCTCCCAAGTGCTGGGATTGAAAGCATGTGCTACCACCACCTGGCTCCTTTTATCTTTAGTTATGCGTGTATACAAACATGCACATGTGAATACTGGTGCCTATGGAGGCCAGAGGCATCAGATCCCTGGAGCTGGAGTTACAGGTGGTACAAGGCAGCTTGTGTGGGTGCTGGGAACCTACCTACAGACATTTTCAGGAACATCATAAGCTCTTAACCACTGAACTCTGTCCAGTCCAGAGACTTTCAAAATCTGATTTCCTTTCATTTCCCTTCCCAAACACCTAGTTAACTAACTCCTTCCTATCTATAACCCTAGTACTCAAGAGTTCTGGATGAGCCTGGGCCACATAGCAAAAGCCAGTCCGAAAAAGAGAGAGGACAGAGTAATTCCCCCATTAGTCTGTCACAAACACTCACCATGGCCACCACAGGCCCCGAGTTCATGTACTTCACCAATCCCGGGAAGAAAGGACGGTCTTTGAGGTCAATGTAGTGCAGCTTCAGGTGCTCTTCAGAAGCCTGGCAGACAGAGCATCCCATTAGGGAACAGACTAGAAAGGCTTTGATTAACCACATCCCACACAGCAGGTCCTTAATTCCAAGTTTAGGATTTCAGTACAGTCAAAAGGATCCATCCTATGAAACTGACACCATTATGGCAGAGAAAAACAAAAAGAAAAACTATTTTGGTGGCCAGGCAGTAGTGCTGCACGCCTTTAATACCAGCAGAGGTAGAGGCAGGTGAATCTCTGAATTCGAGGCCATCCTAGTCTACAGGGCTAGTTCCAAGACAGGCTCCAAAGCAATACAGAGAAGCCCTGTCTCAAACCACTACCACTGCCCCCCCCCCCAGAAAAGTGATATCCTTGATCTGGGAATGTAGCTAGTGGTATCATGCTTGCCTAGCACATGAAAGACCTTGTGTTCACTCTTCAGCATCAGTTTTTAAAAGGAGGATGATTCCATGAGGAAGCATGTGAGGATAAAGTGCAGGCTTGTAGAACGCAGTTTGAATCCCCAGAACCTCCCACCCAGAGATGAGAGGTAAAAACAGGAGATGCCCTGGAAGTTCATCAGCCAGCTAGCTTGGAACATGCAACAATGAACACAACTGTCTCAAACAAGATGAACCAAAGCACATTCACACACTAGATAAGAAGATCAAGTATTGGTACAATGAACTATGCATGATAGCTCATGCCTTTAATCCTTGCCCTTGGTTGGAATAGGCAGGCAGATCTCTGTGAGTTGAAGGCCAGCCTGGTCTACAGAACAACAGCCATGGCTACACACAGACATCAACGCTGTTAAGGATATGTAACACTAAAGTGGTTTGAAATGAGATTTAAAAAGTGAAATGTTGGCTGAATGTACCAGATAATAGGTCACCTCAGGTTCCCCTGGTCAAGTAAACCTTTTAAACATTCCAGATAAGAAGGCTAGAAGGCTAGAACCAGTCCCCTGGAACTGGTTAGAGATGGTTGTAAGCCAGATCCCCTGAAATTGGACTTGCATCATGTGAATGATGGAAATTGAACCCATCCTCCAAAAGAGTAAAGTTTTAACCACTGAGCCTTCTCTCCAGCCCCAAAAACTAAACTGATGGCCTTTGTTAAAAAGTAATCTTTTAGCAGGGCAGTGGTGGTACATGCTTTTATCCCAGCACTTGATAAACAGAGGCAGGAGGATCTCTGTGAGCTCGAGATCAACCTGGTCTACAGAGACCGGTCCACGTCAACCAGGGTTATACAGATAGAACCCCTGCTTCGAAAACATGAGGGAAAAAGTAACCCTTTTCTTCTTCTTCCTTCTTTCTTCCTTCTCCTCTTCCTCCTTCCTTCTCCCTCCTCTTCCATTATTTTAATCTGGGTCTCACGGAGCCCAGGCTTCCCTTAAACTCCAGGTGTGTTAGCCAAGGGTCACCCTGAACATCTGATCCTCTGAGATTACATCTGAGATTACAGTATGTGCCACCGCGGCCTACTGCTGGGGATCCAACTGGAGCCCTCATGTATGCTAAGCACCATACAAATGAACTACACCTTCAACTCCATGGAGGGATGAAGCCTTAACACTTCTGTGATCCCAAAGTTTCCCCTAAAGCACCAAAAGATTGCAAGACCCTACCCACCCATTCCATACGGTGTGGGACAGGGGCTGCCTCCACTCCTTGCTGCCCCAGGAGACTCACAAGAGTAGAGGCCCTTTGCAAGGTGGACAGGACCTAGGCAGATCCAGGACGCTCAGCGGGAGGGAAGCCAGGCCTGAGTCACGTTACCTCCACTTAACCTTCCCAAGGGCGTCTATCCTCCCGGGTCTGGGAAGAGGCCAGCCAGCCGGCCACCAACGTCTATTGAGGTGTGGAGGTCAAAAGGATTCTCCTGGAAGCAAAATCAGCCAAGAAGCCTGACTCCAACTCCAAGAGGCGACCTGGGCAAACCACGACGGGAGGGCTAAACATCCGGGACCCAACAACAGAAGAGTAGGGGGCTAGGGGCAGGTTACCCGAAGGAACTTCATGGCCACCAGGCGGAACCCCTTCTGCTCGAAGCGCTTGATGATCTCGCCCACCAGGCCGCGCTGCACGCCATCTGGCTTGATGGCAATGAAGGTACGCTCGAGGTTGGCCATAGTCCTGCTGGGGCAAGAAGTGCAGTCGAAGAGGCCCGGCCGAACCAAGCCGGCCCAGAAGGCCACGTGGGTTCCCCCCGCCGCTGCGGAGGACACGTGGCTTTCCGGGTACTTCTTCCCCACCCGGGAAGCCCAGGAAGGGGACCATGGTAGCCTGAGGTGGGGTGATGTTGGGGTGGAAAGTGCATTCCAGCCTTACCGAAAGTCGGCTGGTCCTCCGGTGTCTGCGATGAGCGATGGGAGTAGAGACCAGAGCGACCACCGGCCGGCTCGGGGCAAAGGAGGAGGGGCGCAAGGCGGGACGAGGGACGCCACACCCCGGAGGACCCGCTGCCCAACCCGGGACGCTCAGCCAGTTTGATCTGCGAGTCGTCTCTGTCCCCGCCCAGCGGCCCGCGGTGCCCGCCCTCGCCTTGCAAGGCTACTGAGGGCTGAGAGGCAGGAAGTGATTTGTTTCCCCAACCAACTACTCCTGCATTTTGCTTACAAGCTCCTGAATTTTTGTTTTTGTTTTGTTTTTCGAGACAGGGTTTCTCTGTGTAGCTTTGGACTATGTCTTGGAAGTGGCTTTTTAGACCAGGCTGGCCTCGAACTCAGAGATCCACCTGCCTCTGCGCCTCTCTGCTTCTCTGCTTTTGCTGGGATTGAAGGCATGAGCCACCATCACCCAGCTTGGTCATTAATTCTTTATACCTGAAGGAAATGTCTGCATTCACCCTTCCTTGGGGCCCCAGTGCCCAGCTGGACCCTCCCTGCCCTAGGGTAACCCAAGTCCTTCCCACCTCTGAAAATCAACCCCTCTATTCCTTCCCCTTTGCTTTGAGTTCTTAGCCTTCCCTTAGGAGCCAAGTCTGTCCTCAACCCCTCCTCAGAAGGCCATCTGTTCATGTCTGTGTCTCATAATGACTTTCCAGTTCCAAAGATAACCCACACCTTTTGTCACCGGGATCTGCTTCCCTGCTGTTTATCTCCCACCTAACTTTCCAGCGACCATCAGACACCCTCTTCCCACCTAGACTGGGCTCACCACCCACCCAGCGTCACCCACTTCAACCTGAGCCACTCCTAGCAAGCCTAGAGTTTACAAAAGTTGACTGCCTGCCTCTACTTCAGAGAGAATTCGAGGCCTGCCTGGTCTAGTTAGCACACAGTACTCCCATCTCAAAATAAAAGAAGCAAAGACAGGTGTGATAAATGACAGATGCCTGTAACTCTAGCATTTGGCAGGTAGAGGTAGGATCAGGAGTCCAAGGACAGCTACTGCTACACAATTCTAAGTCAGCCTAATCTATGTCTCTAAATATACAAAATGAGCTGTTCAAGAGATAGTTTAGCAGTTAAGAGCACTTGCTCAGTTCCCAGCACCCACACACTTCAGGTAACTCACAACTGTAACTCCAGTTCCAGAGAATCTGATGCCCCTCAAAGGCCAAGTGCCCTTGTGCATATAACCACATGCAACACACACACACACCTACACATAATTTTAAAAAACAATAAAAGATGGCATGGTAGCAGGTGCTTTCATGGCTTGGTCTACAAAGTGAGTTCCAGGATAGCTAGGGCTATTACACAGAGAAACCTTGCCTCAAAAAAATAACTAAAAATAAACCTAGGCAGGGTTTGCAGGTGCCTTTAATGATAGCACTTGGGAGGCAGAGGCAAGCATGTTTATGTGAGAACAGCCTGGTTTAGAGTTCCAGAACAGCCAGGCCAGGGTTACACAAAATAAATAGTAAGTAAATCTTTGAGAAATATATACATAATGAGAGGTTGAAGGTGGAGTTCTTTTAGGACTTTCGTAACATATACAAGGCCCTGGGTTTGACCCTTAGTACCACATAAATTAGGTGTATGATGGTACATCCTTAGCAACCCTGGAATTAAGAGACCAGCTGAACTACATGAGGATGGGGAGTTCTGAAAATTGAGCTCTGTGGTAGGCCCACTTGTGTAACATGCACAAACAAGGCTTTAGGACCAACCTCCAGTATTCCAAACAGATTGTATATTCTGAGAAGCCAGGCCCATCAGCTTGCAGACCTCCAATCTTCTTTGCAAACCACCAGCAACCTAAAGGTCCCCACCCAGATGTCCACAGCTTTGTTTCTGTGTCCAGAGGGAAATAATAAATAGATTGTGAACCAGCTGCCTCTTCTCCCAGTGTGATTAGAGATTGAGCTGGGGACTTAAAACATCCCCAGGAAGGTGTAAAGTGTTGCCCAAAACACTGAGACCAGCCCAGATGAGTCAAAATGTCTAAAACCCTCCTCCAACTCCATTCCATCACCTCTGGCTAAGGAGCTGCTCAGACTGAACATCTCTGCTCTCTGACCATTAAGATGGTTATACTCTAAATTCCCTTCATACAGGCTTTGTACTGGGCACCTTGGCCTAGATTTCCTTTTTTTTTTTTTTTTTTTTTTTTTTTTTTTCCGTTTTTGATTCCCAACAAGCAGTTTTGGAATGACTCTAGCCCCCAAGAGGACATACCCAGCTCTAATGATTATCATCTTCTCTGAAGGAACCAGCTTGCCCTTCTCTTGTATTCTCTATGACACCAATACAGCAGCACCATCTCACATGGGAGTCTAAGGAGTCTAACCTCAAAACTTAGGTCATCATCATCATCATGGCTCTAGCCAACCGATCACTTGTAACTGATTAATCCGTGAATAAGGAATGGCCTCATCACCTCATTACCATCCCAAACCTCAGTTAACAGAGCATCAGCCTAGGAACTCTGACAATGACTGGCACCAGCCCCCATTCTAGAGCCACTTCCTTCACTATTTGCCTGGTCAGTCTGCTGGTTAGTTTTTTGAGATAAATCTCACTGCATAGTCTTGGCTGAACTACACCAGTTTGTCCTCCAGCTTGCTACAATCCTCCTGCCTCTTCTTCCTAAATGCTAGGATTATAGGCATGAACTCTGGTTTTGGAGTTATCAAATGTCAACTGTCCTCAGAATCTGGCAATTTTACTGGATGTATCTGTTGCATTATTTCAAGATGTGTTACATTCATTTATGCTGTGGGACATTTGTTTAATAACTCAAAGATGTGTTTCATTCTTTTATGTTACATTTGTTTAACTCTGTGAAGCTGTGTTACTTTAGCCTGGTTAAAACACCTGATTGGTCTAAAAAAAGAGCTGAACTGCCAATAGCTAGGCAGGAGATAGAATGTGGTGGGCTGGCAGACAGAAAGAATAAATAGGAGGAAAAATCTGGGAGGAGATCTAGGAGCAAGAGAAGGAAGAGAACTTGAGGGGCCAGCCACCCAGCTACTCAGCAAGACACAAAGTAAGAAGTAAAAAAAAAAAAAGGTATACAGAAATAGAGAAGGTAAAAGCCCAGAGGCAAAAGATAGATGGGATAATTTAAGAAAAGCTGCCAGAAACAAGCCAAGCTAAGGCTGGGCATTTATAAGAAAAAATGTCATTTATTTGGGAGCTGGGTGGTAGGCTACCAGAGAACCAAAGAGTAAAAAGATCAACTACAATATCTATCTACCATTTACCTCTTAGTGAGGTCACATACCTCCCTACCCTATAATAGTAGTCACTACTTCATACGACACCAACTGATGATCCCAGGCTTACAGAAGATATTGCTTTTCTTATTTGAGGATAGCTACAACTTCTCACAATTCCCTCTTTCTTTTTGGTTTTTCAAGACAGGGTTTCTCTGTGTAGCCCTGGCTGTCCTGAAACTCATTCTGTAGTCCAGGCTGGCCTCCAACTCATAAAGATGCACCTCCCGAGTACTGGTACTAAAGCTACACCAAAATCCACCTACAATTCCCCATCCCCTCTGAGAGCCTCTTGACCAAGATGAGCATCTTTCATTTTTCACTTTTTTTTTTATTTTTTAAGGTAAATTCTTGAAAAGCCCAGGCTGGTCTCAAACTATAAAGCTGAGGATAACTTTGAACTTGTGATCCTCTCTCCTGAGTGCTGGGATTACAGTGTTTCCATGCCCAGCTATGTATTGATGGAGAGAACCCAAAGCCTCATGTGTATTAGGCAAGCACTCTTTCTACCAACTATGCTATATCCCCAGTCTGGGGATGGGGGGGGGGGTTCTTGTTTTGAGACAGGGTCTCAGTATGTAGACTACACTGAACTTGAACTCAGAGATCTAAGTGCCTCTGCCTCCTGAGTGCTACAACTAAAGGGCCTGCTCCACCACACCCAGCTGTTTTGTTTTGACAAGGCTTCACTCTGTAGTCCAGGCTGGCCTGGAACTCATAATCCTCCTACCTCTGTCTCCTGAGTGTTGGGATTATAAGCCTGACCTAACATGCTTGAGTTGGCATCTTTATATCTGATGAATCCTCTGTTCCCAGCACAGTTTATGGACTTCACACCCTCCACAGACATACCTCACTGGCTCACTGCCAAGAGAGAATAGGGGTGCAGGGATAAGAAGAAAGATAGGCAAAGAACTACCTGTTCATCCTAGGATGGTGGCTCAAATCTCAAGGACAACCAAGAGTGTCTGTGTATGTGAGGCCAATATAAGTAATTTGCATACCATTTACATTCTGTCAGTTCAGGTTATCCAGAAGCCTGAGAGGAAGTAAGGCATGCAAAGCCACACAGCAACACAAAGTAACTAGCTGACCCAGTAATGGAGATGAAACACTTTAATCAACCAGTGGCACATAACACTGCACAGGAAGAAGCAGCTCCCAGACATCCCTTCCAGGTCAATGGAAGTTCCAGGAACATCTAGAGTTGCTGGTCCCTTGCCTGTGTGTAGGGGTAAGTAGAGGGGAGGAAAGCAGGTGCCCTCCTGTCACTCATAGATCCAGTTTTGCGCACAGCTCTTGTAATCCACCAGCTCCTCAGGCTGAAACCACAAGCCGATCTCCTTCTCTGCACTCTCCACAGAATCGCTGCCGTGAATGATGTTCCTGGGTGGGGAGAGGTACTGCATCATTAACCAAAGCCAGAAAGATGAACTTGCCCACAGTCCCCTGCATTTCCACTGCTGAGAGCCAAAAGAAAAGCCAGCAGAAAAGCCAGAGTCCCTAGTACTTCAGAACATGTCAAAAGAAAACCATCACAGAATGACTTCCTGTGAGTGGCCTACCAGAAACCCTGACACAAGAGTGCCAGCCTTCAGAAAGGCTCTGGCCAGGCTCTACATTTAGAAAGGAATAGGCAATGGAATCGAGACAAGCAAACACAGGGGACCCTCCAAGTCAGCCTCCAGTTCAGAGACAGGAAGACAAAACTCCCATTTAAAAGTTGGTGGCACATGCCTTTAGTCCCAGCTCTCAGGAGGCAGAGGCAGGCGGATCTCTGTGAGTTTGAGACCAGCCTGGTCTACAGAGCTAGTTCCAGGACAACCTCTAAAACCACAGAGAAACCCTGTCTTGGAAAAAAAAAAAAATGACCTGGGCCAAGAAGTGGTGGCCTACACTTTTAATCACAGCATTCAGGAAGCAGAGGAAGGAGAATCTGAGTTCAAGGCCAGCCTGGCCTATAGATGGAGTTCCAAGATAGCCAGGACTACACAGAGAAACCCTGACTCAAAAGAAAAGGGAAAAAAAAGAGAGGAAAAAGGAGAGACAAAGGGAAAGAGAGAGAGAAAAGAGAAAAAAAAAAAACTATCAGGAATTCAAGGATAACAATTTTGAGGTCCCAGCTAGCATAATTGAGACGTTGTCTCAAAATCAACTAAACTTGCCTTGTGGTGGTGGCACATGCCTTTAATCCCAATACTTGGGAGGCAGAGGCAGTCAGAACTCTCTGAGTTCACAGCCAGCCTGGCCTACAGAGCTAGTTCCAGGACAGCCAAGGCTACACAGAGAAACTCTCTCAAAATAACAAAAACCAAACAAACAACAACTAACCTAGGAGCAGAAGAGATGGCTTTAAGATCACTGGCTAGTCCTCCAGAGAACCTAGGTTTAGTTCCCACCATCCACATGTGACTCATAGCTATCTGTAACTCTAGTTCTGAAGGATCATATGCCTTCCCTGTTCTAGCCTCCTTAGGCACCAAGAAATATACAGGCTAAAAAAAAAAAAAAAAAAAAACTATCCATATACATGAAGAAAAAGTAAAACATAAGCTTTAAAAGCTAAAATAAAATAAATAGGAGACTGGAAAGATGACTCAATGGTTAAAAGCACTGACTCATCATCGTTCAGGGGTCCTGAGTTCAATTCCCGGCAACCACATGATGGCTCACAACCATCTGTAGTGAGATCTGGTGCCCACTTCTGGCCTGCAGGCATACATGTAGGCAAAACACTGTATACATGATAAACAAATAAATCTTTAAAATAAAAATAAATAATAAAATAAATGGACCTGCAGATGGTACCATGTCCACTTCTAGCCTCAAGAGGCCCAAATTCTTAATAGCAACTAACTTGGATTTTGGAAAAAAGGTGAAAAACAAGACTTCTTACCTGCCAACTTGGATGCAAAAGTCTCCTCGAATGGTCCCAGGTTTAGAGTCTGCAGGGTTGGTTTCTCCAAGCATCACCCGGCCTGTCTTCACAACATTTAATCCCTCCCAGACCTCCAAGGACAAGAGAAGACACAGTCAAGGAAGAAAAATTCTCTCAGAAAACCTGGCATCTAGTGATTTTAAACAAAAGAAAAAGGGTCCAGAATTGGGCCCTCTCATTTACTAGACAAACAGAATGCCTACTTGTTCCAAGACTAGGGATGTTGGTCACCCTGCCCAGACTCTTACCCTCCCAGATTCATTCATGTGGCAGCCAGTGGCCTTTTTAAATGCTAAATATTGCCATTGAGGTAGGTAATCCCACCACTCCAGAGGTAGAAGCAGGTGGATCTCGAAAAGCCAGCCTGGTTTACATAAGAGAGTCCCAGGATACAGCCAGGTCTATGTAGAAAGACTCTGTGTTGCAAACCCCACGATGTTGGAGTCATGGGATACCTGCCAAAAAAAAGCTGCATAAGGGGAGTGGAACCTGCTCAGGAGCTAAAAGTGTATGGTGGTCACTAAAACTGAAAGGAGAAGGAGCTCTGAAAAGGGCTTTGACATGAGAAATGGAAATACGGTTTGGAGTTGCCCTGCTGGTTTTAGATCTTGGTTTGGTCCAGAGTATTTCCTCACTGTGCTCCCTTTTGTAATGGTGATATGTATTTTGTGTCATTGTATGTTGGAAGTAGGTTATTTACTATTTCTCTTTTGATTTTACAAGGGGTTACAATGAAGAGATTGCCATGAGTCTCAAGAAAAACTGAACTTTTAAACAGTGCTGATACTGTGATAGACTATGGAGACATTTGAAGTTGAACTGAATGCATTTTTGCATTATGATATGACTATAAGCTAATGGGGGCCAGGAAATGGAATATGGTAATTTGAATAATGGTCCCCACAGGCTTATATATTTGAATGCTTAGTCTTCAGGGGGTAGCACTAGTTAAGAAGGATTAGGGAGTGTGGCCTTATTGGAAGAAGTGTGTCACAAGGGTAGGCTTTGAGGTTTCTTTTTCCATTTTTTTTTTTTTTTTTTATTTTCACCTCTGAAATGGTTTCTTCTTTTCTTTTTTCTTTTTCTTTTTAGATTTATTATGTATACAGTGCTCTCCCTGCATGCCAGAAAAGGACACCAGATCTCATTACAGGTGGTTGTGAACCACCATGTGGCTGCTGGGAATTGAACTCAGAACTTCTGGAAGATCAGGCAGTGCTCTTAACCTCGGAACCATCTCTCTAGCCCTGGGATTTGCGGTTTCAGAGGTCCAAGTTCTCCCTGATGCCTTATAGATCCAGATATAGAACTCTCAGCTACTTTCTCCAGCACCATGTTTGCCTGCATCTCCCTGCCATGATAATAATGAACTAAACCTCTGAAACTATGAGCAAGCCCCCAATTAATTGCTTTCTTTCATAAGAGTTGCTGGGGTCATGGTGTCTCTTCACAGCAAAAGAACAGTGACTAAAGCAGACCCTATCTCAAAAAGTCAAAATAAATAAAACACTGAATATGGTACTTCCCCTAACTTCCCAGCACTGGTGACATAACAGCACAGCCCTGATGTTATCATTACGTAGTCCCTGAAAACATCTCATCCTATCTTCCTTCTTACCACCATCCATTCTACCCTTCTTTCTGTACTTTAAAAAGCAAAGTTGTGTCTGGCGTGGTGATGCCCACTTCTAATCCCAATACACTGTAAGTAAGAGAATCAAAAGCTTCAAGCCAGCCTGAACTATTTTGAGTCTAGCCTGAGCTACACAATGAAGTATAAGATACAGGCAGGGATACATACTAAGACCCTGTCTCAATAAATCATTTTCAAAAAGTAAGAATGAAAATAGATACCTGTTTTATCACACAACAGTATCTAAAATGTTTAGAAGGCACTTGGCATAAGTAAAGCAAGCTCATTCTTGAATAAGTATACAGTACAGTAATAAACCAAGCTCCCTCTGTTACATGGGAATTCAATCAAGCAGATCTCTCCTGATTTCTCCCTGTCCTGGGTCTTCGGGTTGGCAAACAAATGTATGCTTTCTTTGGTGGGTCAGACAGCCAATTCTCATGCTAACTGGCTATCCCACTAGCCTGTTTCCTCTGTAACAAAGAGGGCCTGGCACCCAACATAGGAAATGCAACACTTATTCTGCTCTACACTCACATGAGTCATTCCCATCAACATCCCACACAGAAATACTCACCATAGCAACCACTGGTCCTGAATGCATGTATTTCACGAGGCCAGTAAAGAAGGGACGGTCCTTCAGGTCAATGTAGTGCTCCTTGAGAAGGTCTTCTGAAGCCTGTCAAAGGATGGACAGTAAAAACTGGCCATAGGCCCTTAAGAATCAGCAGGCTAGTTTCTCGCCCCCATCCCTCCTGATATTTGAAGCATGAGCTCATAGCTAGCTGGTCCATTATAACTAGATTCATCCTCTACCTTAGCAGAAGGGAGCAGTAACAGGGCTACACAGAGAAACCCTGTCTTGAAATAACAACAACAAAAAAGAACCCACTATTAGAAAGGAAAAGTAACAATACAATGGCTTTTTGTTCCCAGAAAATACCTCAACTAAAATGTTAGATGGAAACAAGGAAGGTAGTCTGTAACAGATGAGCATTAAACTGAACCCAGCCTTCTCCTAGAGACACCTGACATGTATTCAAAGGATAAAGGCCCATTGCAGTGACCATGTAATTCCCAGAGGTACCTACCTCTAAATTATCTAAAAGCACATGACATACAACAATAAATAATTGTACTAAAGATAGAGCGATGGCTCTGGGGTTAAAAGCATTGGCTGTTCATCAAGAGGACCCAGGTTCAATTCCCAGCATCCACATGGCATTTTATAACCATCTGCAATCAGTCCTGAGGGATTTAATGCCTTCTGACTTCCACAGGCACCAGGTACAAAAGTGGTGCATAAACATACAAGCAAGCAAAACACCCATGTACATAAAAGGTTTTAAATCTAAAAGGAAAATGAATTAAATCAGGTAAGTATCACATGCCTACAACCCCAGCACTCAGTCAGAAGCAGGAAGATCAAGGAATTCAAAGTCATCCTCAGCTGCATAGTGAATTTGAGGCCAGCCTTGAAAACACAAGACCCTATCTCAGGGAGGAGGGTTGGGGAGGAGAAGGAGGAAGAACAAAAGAAAGGAGAAAAGCAAAGAGAAAGAAGAGAATTAAAACACTCACTTGCAAGGCTGGTGTGTGAGAAAAAAATCAAATAAGCTATAGAACAAATCATCTTCATGTGCTCTGGCTGGGCACTCTCTTTGCATCTACATAGCCTTGCAAGGGCATAGCAGGACCCTTGGTTCTTACACTTCGGAAGAACTACATCACACAAAGCATATTGCCATGTTAAAGGGATACACATAGGCCAGGATTATCTGCCAAAAGGTACATTCAGAATATCCTACCCTTCAGTCACTGGTTGGTCATCACTTACCAAAGCAAAACTGTACAAAGAAGTGATCCAGGCTAGCTGGTGCTATACAGCTGTCTCAAAAACAGCAGCAAAATAATAATAAAATAAGAACTCAACATTGAAAATCAAATTAAACTCAAAATACACTATAAGCCAAAAGTGTATTGCTTTAATGGAAAAAAAAATTGTTCCCCTAATATATTTGCTTTGAGAATTGGAATTCACATCTCATAATTTGTTTGAAAAAGAGTTTTTGGCCAATCAATCCTTGGTATTTATTGTAATATTGTTTTCTGAGTGGATGACTTATGCACAGAATCCCAGGACTCAGAATACTGAGAAAGGAGGAGTATTAGAATTATTTCTTATCTCTGTTGTCAGGAGCACCCCATAAAACCCCATGTATCATGCCTGATTCATGCTAGGCACTATCAGGTAGTAATTAGTAAAGCAAAGACTTTCTTCCTGACAGCCTACCTCGAAGGGGGTGGGAATGGAAGGATAGTCTCTAAAATTATCCATTTAGGAGGCTAGAGACCAAGAGCTCCAAAACATCCAGAGCTGAGTCAGAAATTATAGCTCTGCAGTAATACATGGAATTATACATTGTTAGGGGAAAAGACAGACTATTTTTGAAAACCCCAAATGACTTAGTTTGTTCCAAGATTCAACCAAAATGCTTAGTCACTGAGAGGACACAGTACCATGAAGAAGTCTAGACAGGAAACAAAGCAAACACAGAAGTTACTCTGCAACATTCTACTATGTTCCAAAAAACCAACACAGGAAATGTGAGATCCACTCACCTGCATAAATTTCAGGCCAACAAGGCGGAATCCCTTCTGTTCAAAACGCTTGATGATCTCGCCCACCAGCCCCCGCTGGACCCCATCAGGCTTGATAGCAATGAAGGTGCGCTCACTGTTGGCCATGGTCCTGGAAAGATAAGTAGGGAATGAAACAGGACGGAATCTCTACCCTCATCATGATCCTTCTCAAGCGGATTACTCTTCCATAAAACTGGATTTAATATATTATGTCTATATCAAGTCTCTCTAGTAAAATCCCAATCCCTGCTCCGTTCACTCACCGATGAATTTTGATCCTAAAGTAGCAAAGCACTCAAAGGAAGAAATGTAATTTCTATTCCACTTGATTTCATAAGCTCCTATTGGGCTTCTACTGTGTACTTAAGACTGTGATGGAACTAAAAAGGGAGATGTAAAACTAAGGCATACCAATCTTTTGGTAATGCCAGTTAGGGGAGACTGCAATGGTATAGTTTTCCTACTAAAAATTACATCTGACTTGATACAGTGTGACCTACAGCATTAGAACCCACAAGAGCTTTAGGGACTATGTCAAAGAATGAGATTCCCCAGCCCTATGCACCTTAAGATATAGTAAGAAAAACCAAGCCTGAGGATGAATGCCAAAATCTTACCACTAGGAAGTCTAAGGCAAAAGCACAGAGGATTTCAGGCTGGCCTGGGCAACCTAAGACACTGAATCAAAAAAGAAAAAAGGGGAATGAAAAGAAAACAGAGCTGAGTGCAGTGGGCAAGGTGTGGTAGCCCATGTCAATAATCCCAACCTGAACTGAGCTACAAAAGACTCTGTTTCAAAAAACAAGAAAAAAGATTCAATAACTATTAACTATGCTGCCTGGGGAGCTGGCGGTGGTTAATGGCTGTAGGTGAGTGGGCATCATATTTTTTTTCAGGGATATAGCCATGGGTAAACTGCTCCAGAATTAACTCCTCCATCCATGATGCAAGCAACTCTAATTAAGCTCAGTCTCTCTCTCTCTCTCACACACACACACACACACACACACACACACACACACACACATTTAAGACATGAACTCCCTGGAAAGGAGTTCAACAGGAGCAGGAGAGCAGAAGATTGTGATTCGGGGAGATGACTATTACATATAAAATTGTCAGAGAATAAAAGGCCAAAAAAAAAAAAAAAAAATTGAAGGTCCATTAGTAAGAACAACAATTATCATTTATTAAACTACATACTAGGGCAAAGTACAATGAGTATTGTGACTAACCAATGAACAGTGGCTTATGAGAAACCCACAGCACAATTCCTAACATGGGACATTATCACTGAAAGAAGACACCTTCAGAACCTTCCATTTCCAAGGAACACAATCCCACAAGATGAAAGGAGACTCCACCTTGAAAAACGATATCCGGCTCCTGTCTCTGGCTTTCTAAACATGAGTTAACCTCTAATTTTATACCTTAGGAATGGGGCCTGACACAGCTAGGTGATTCAGTGGGCAAAGGTTTTTGTACCACAGACCTGAGTTTGATCCCTCGGGCCCACTCCACAAAGTTGTCTTCTGGTGTTCACATGTGTGAACATACAATACAAACATACAATAAGACATAACCTTTTAGTGATCATTTATGTGGATTTCTTCCTCCCCTCTCCCGCCTCCCCGGTCTGTGACTGCATAAAGAGCTGATCTACTCCAGTTTTGATTACTAGCCACAGGGCCTCCCAGTCCATAGGAGCAAAGAGGATGCCTTAAATAGCCACAGGGCCTCACAGTCCATAGGAGCAAAGAGGATGCCTTAAATGGTCAACCATGCCTTCCAAAAGACAGAACCCGCACACTAGCTGGAGGATCTCTGAAGGAATGTGGAACAAGCACAGATACAAAGAAACAGCCCCTATGAAAGGCTCTGCGCACAGAGCACACACACACACACACACACACACACACACACACACAAACAAGCACAGATACAAAGAAACAGCCCCTATGAAAGGCTCTGCGCACAGAGCACACACACACACACACACACACACACACACACACACACACACACAACACACACACACACACGTCATTCATTAGCAAGTACTGTGGGAGCCTCCAGCTTTGTGGCCAGCACCGGGCTGGAAGGAGAGTAAGGCACAGCCCGGCCGGCGCAGTCTGACAGGAACTGCGGCCACAGACAAAGGCGAGCCCACGTGTCAAGCTGACAGGTCTGCACCTGTGCACAGCCGAAGCCGCGAGCTTCCTCAACGCCTCTCAGAGAATGAATGCACCCTCTCCCTTTATTTAACACCCACCTCCCTCTCCGCTTGCCTAGGCCCTCAGCGTTCCCTTCCCCTCAGCACCCGAACCCCGCTCACCCCTTCGGAAGGCAGGTCTCTCACTCCGGCTGCACCGGAAACGCGCCCTGGTCTCACGTGGCTCCGAGCAGCGGCTCGCACGGAACCTTTCCGTACAGTTCTGATTCAGGAGAGCCCTTTTGGTGGAACACCGCCAGCCCCCGCTTCCTCCGGTGAGGAGGATGTCATTCTGGGGGGCACTCTTTCCGGGTTTCACTTCCGGCACTGGGTGTGGTTTTTGTTTTTGTCGTCCCTCTTCCCTGCCCCCTCCCGAGCTTTTACGGCTGGCGGCCATCTTTTGTTCCTATCCGACATGTCCTGTGACTCACTCGGTCCCCGAGAAAATTTGGTTCCCCGGGAGGTGGCGCTCACACTGCACGCAGTAGAACTAAAGCCCCGGTAGAACCATCTCGCCCGCTTCCCTTCGTCCTGTCAAGCAACAAAAGTACTAAATGCTAATGCTGTGTGCCCAGCAGGCACGGTTCTAGAACCTAGGGATAAAGCAGTAAGCTCACTCGAGGCTTCTGGGAGGGATGAAAATTAGGACAAACAATAAAAAACAATTGATAGTGAATACACGGTGTTATGTAAGTTCTGTGAAGAAAGAACAGAGCAGGGAAGAAAAACAAGGCTGAGAAATCTGCAGAAGTGAAAACTCAAATAGACCTACATGAAGTCTAGTTATAATATTATTAGAGAGCGGAGAATTATAGTAGCCCTGGATGGTAGGAAGCTCATTAGGAGAAATGTTTTATTGTTATAGGAGGATTTTTTAAATTATTGTTTTTTGGGTTTTTTGTTTTGTTTTTCGAATCAGAGTCTCACTTTGTAGATCCTGCTGGTCTCTAACTCATGGAGATTTACCTCCCTCTGCCTCCCGTGTACTGAGATTAAAGGTGTCACGTCCGGTATTATTAGTGATTATTTATGTGTTCATGCGAATATCTATGTATGAGGTAGTCAGAGGGTGTGGTAGTTTAAATGTAATACCCTCCGCCATCATAAGCTCATAGGGAGTAGCACTATTAGGAGGTATGGCTTTGTTGGAGTGGTTAAAGAAGAGTGTCACTTTGAGGTTTCCTATGCTCAGGATACCGCCCTAACTTTCTGTTGCCTTCAGATCAAGATGTAGCCAGCACCCTGTCTGCCTGTACATCACCATGTTCCCTGCATTGATGATAATGGACTGAATCTCTGAACTGTAAGCCACCACCTTAATTAAAGTTTTCCTTTATAAGAGTTACAGTGGTCATGGTGTCTCTTCACAGCAATAGAGACCCAAACAAAGATAGAGGGGTGTCAGATCTCCAGGAGCTAGAGTTACAGTTGTAAGCAATCTGATGTAGGTGCTGGGAATCGAACTTGGGTTCTCTGTTATAACAGTGGGTGCTCTATAACCATAAGGAAATCCTACCACCATGCCTAACCTAGTCCAGCAAGCTTTGGTTTAACTTTTGTGTGGTTGTTTAGTTAGATGGTTAATTGCTGATTTTGTTTATTTGTGGTTTGTTTGGAAACAGGGCCTCATGTAGCTCAGACTGGCCACAAATTTATTTTGTGGCTCACCTATTTCTGTATTTTGACTGTGGTGGCAATTATACATGTATAACAAAGTTTCAGGAAATAAAAAATACATTACATAAACGAGCACAGGGAAAACTGGTGTATGCAGGATTCTTGTGGGTAACAAGAGTGACGTTTTCTGGATTTGTTTATGTTTTGGTTTGGTTGGGTTTTTATTTTTCTTGTTGATGTTTGGAGATAGTTGCTCTATATAGTATTTAATTCACTATGTAGGATAGCCTACAACTTACAGAAGTCCTACCTTCGCTTCCCAAATGCTGGGATTATAAGCATGAGACACCATGTCCATCTTAACTTCTTGGTTTAAATTTTGTTATTATTGTTGTTGTTATTGTTTGTTGTTTAAGACACTTCTCTTATGGCCTTGAACTTCCATCCTCCTACATCTTCTTCCCAAATGCAGGGATTACAGGTACCTGCCACACACCCAGCTTATGTGGTGCTAGGAATCTAAAGTCCCTGAACTATATAAAAAGGAGAAAGTGAGCTGAGCACAGGAAGGGATGTAACTAGCAGGTGTAACTAGCCTCCTCAAGTTCCTGCTGCTATGACTCTGCTATTTTGGACTGTGACTTGGAACTAGGAGCACACACACATGCACACATGCACGCACCACCTTTCTCTCTTAAGTTGTCTTTCTAAGGGCATTCTGGTCTTTTTACCTTATTCTCTATATCTTTCTTTCTTTCTTTCTTATGCCATGGTATCCGTCTCTCCTTTTCTTGCTCCTCACTCATCTTCCTCCCCTCCCCAGCCTAGATTTCTCCTATTCATTTTCTGCTTGGCAGCCCTGTCTATCCCTCTCCTGCCTAGCTGTTGACTGTTTAGCTCTTTTCCTAGACCAAACAGATGTTTTAGGCAGGCAAGGTAACACATATTTACAGAGTTAAACAAACGCAACACATGTTTGCATCATTTAAACAAATATTTCACCGTATAAATGAATGTAACTTTTTTTTTTTTTTTTTTTTGGTTTTTCAAGACAGGCATTTTCTGTGGCTTTGGAGCCTGTCCTGGAACTTGCTCTGTAAACCAGGCTGGCCTCACAGAGACTCACAGAGATCCACCTGCCTCTGCCTCCTGAGTGCTGGGATTAAAGGTATGCTCCACCACTGTCCAGCATTTGTTTTAAAAACAAAAACTTTAAATACATTTGGAGTGGAGGGGCATGTGCCTTGACATGTACATAGAGACCAGAGGACAATTTGAAGGAGCCCATGTGACCCTTCCACCGTGTAGGTTCTCGGGTCCAGCTGAGGTCATCAGGCTTGCAATAAGAGCCTTTACTTACTGAGCCACCTCACTGGCTTGTTTTGTTTTTCAGCCAGGTTCTTTTGAAGTGAGGATTTAAAAATAAGCTTTACTAGGAGTTGGGAGGCAGACTCTAAGGAAAGGGATATAAGAGCAGGAAGGTTTCCTGTCTTCCTGGAATGCATGCTAATTATATGACTCCATCCTCACCTTCCTTCCTAGCATTGCACAACCCACAAGGGCTTCTCCATTCTCCAGGTAAATGTTCTATGACCCAAGGCAGAAAGCACTGAGAATTTAAAACTAAAAGAAAGGTCTTTGGCTGTAGTATTAGTGAGAGTTCTCTACAGGAGCAGAACTGCTAGAATTAATATATATAGAATGTGTGCAGATGATTTCTTAGAATGGCTTACAGACTGTAGCCCACCCAGTGCAACAATGGCTGTCTCCCGACAGAAAGGCCAGGAATCTGGTAGTTGTTTAGTCCAAGAGACTGGATGTCTCAGCTGGTCTTTAGTCTGTACTGGAATCTGAAGAAGTAGATTCTCATATCAGTGAAGGAATGCCTCAGTGGCAGGAAAAATGAACTGACCAGAGAGAGCTGGCAGTCAAAAAGCAAAAACTTCCTTCTTCCATGCCCTTGTGCATGGGCTGCCACCAGGTGCTGGCAACAGCAATAATCATGGTATGGCACATTATATTAAGTGGGTCTTCCAAATGATCTAATCAAGACAACCCTTCTCAGGCATGCCCAGACGCTTTGGTTTGAGTTGATTCCAGATGTACTCAAGCTGACAACAAAGATTAGCCCACAGGCATGTTAAGCTATGCCCTGCCCAGAAATCCCAGCTTGGAGTTCACTATCTCCTCTGGCAGCCACTCACTGGCCTTCAGCCTTTCCTACATAATTTCTTATTGTTGTTGGAGGTGGTGGGGTGTGTGTGCGTGCGCTCCTGCTTTTATGTTACTCGGAATCAAACCCAAGGCCTCATGAATGGTAGGTAAGCACTCTCTACTGAGCTATGTCCTCAGCCCATATGTATGTATGTATATACATATACATATACTAGTTTTCTTCTTCCCTGTTTTTTATATAGGCAGCCAGATTAAAAGCAGATCTTTCCACTTCAAACAATTTAATTAAGAAAAAAAATCCCTCACAGGTGCAGGTGTACCCAGCCACTTGGGCTTCAATTAAGTCTGGATGTAGTTGAGCTGACAACAAAGAATAGCCAATACATTTGTAGCACGAATTCTCTTTGGTATTAATAATAAAAACTTAGAGTCAGCTATGGGGGGGTTTGGGGGGTAAAAGCTGAAAGATCAGAGAAGCAAAGCAGCCAGCCACTAGAGAGTTCTCACTTCTACCAATGCTCAGACCAAAGGGTCGATCCTCTCCTCAGATTGCACCCTCAGACTGCACTGAGCTCCTGTCTCTTCCTGTCTTATATTCCTCTCTCTGCCATATGCCTTCCTTTCTCCACCTCCTTAGTGTCACTCCAAGTGCTGGCACCACTTTTGTGTGAGCCCTGTTTCTCTTTTAGACTGGATCTATTCTGTGTAGCCCAGGGTGGCTTTGAACCTACAGAGATTCATCAGCTTTTGTCCCCCCAGTGCTGGGATTAAAGGTGTGTGCCACCACTTCCTGGCCTCTATGGCTAACTAGTGTGGCTGGCTAGCTTTGCACTCTGATCTTCATGCAAGCTTTATTTGTTATATCATAAGCAAAATATCACCATACACACTAGCTAAAAATCTTTGTTCGGTTTTTCAAGACAGGGTTTCTTTGTGTAGCCCTGACTCTCCTGGAATTCATTTTGTAGACTAGGCTGGCCTCAAACTCACAGAGATTCACCAGCCTCTGATTCCTGAGTACTAGAATTAAAGGCATGGGCCATCATGCATAGCTAAAATGTTATTTAAATATATTAAAGTATAATAAAAATAACAAAGAAAGCAATGTTTAATGAACTTCATTAATGATAACAATTATTATCAAAGGGAAAAGAGGGGGCAGTGAGTAAAGGTGCTTGCCACCAAGCCTGATGGCTTGAGTTTGATCCCTGAACTCCATATAGTAGAAGGAGAGAACTAACTCCAAAGAGCTGACCTCTACATGGGTGTCATCAGCTCCCCAAGAAAGAACCATAAAAAAAAAAATAGAAATAAAAAAGGAAAAGAGTAGCCAAGCATAGTGGCTTATGCCTGTTATCACAACAACTTGGGAGATATCCTGGAGTTCAAGGCTATCTTCCATTACATAGCAATTTCTATACCTGCCTAGGGTATATGAGACACTGTTCACCAAAATAAAAAAAAATTCAAAAACTCAAATGAAACAATACAAAAAAATG